GAGGAGCAAAAGCCGCAGCAGTCGCAGCGCAAGTTATACAGAGAAGGACGATGTCTTTCAGAAACATCAAGTACCGCCGATGCCATTTGTTAGCGAGATTGGTACCGATCTCACTCGAAGCTCCCTGAAGTCCTCAAATGACGGACGGGCGGAGACACCAACTCGTCGCGAAGTGCGCGAAGTGATACGTGGATCTCCTTTCGAACTCTCCTCGCCAGCATCCCAAGCAACACCCACCTCTAACGCTGTCGATCTGAAGAGAGGATTGGGTACCCACCACGGTAACTTCTCGGAGCACGACTTGTCAACCCATGACTTGTCAAAGAAAGAAGTCTTCGACGAGGGCACTTTTGACAAGTCATCGGAGGCAGACGAGCTGGATTTTGCTACGCACGGATTTGCAGCTCTGACAGATCCAGAAAGGGCTCGTCAATATGAGAGAAATCTTCACCAACAACATCCCATTAGGCGGGGTCTCAGTCCAATACAGAGCGTGGCCAGCTATGCAACAACAGAACCCAATCGCAACTCCATGATGCAGCCACGCAGCTCGGACTCTTTGCACTCGCCGGGCAAACATATGCGCGCCGACGACCAAGTCTCCGTTTCCTCTCTATCATCCGCGCCTAGCACTGACCTGGCCCGCTCAAGGCGGCCCCATGGAATGAGCTTGGAGAGCCGGAGTGAAGTCATGGCTCAACATGTAAAGTCTCGTGAGAGCACTCCGCGCCGAGTGAATGAAGACACATTCGGCGAACATGCTCTCGAAGACGACGGATACCATGACTCGCCTTACATCGACAAAGTCACAGCGGGCCAAGAGGTCGTCGCTCAAGACATTGGATCAACCGCGCAATATGTGGAAGAACCGTCAGGTATCGAGTCTGCAGTCGCCTCCCTAGTTGAACCTTCACTTCTCTCCGCCGAGCATACATATTCACCCCGCCACAGTCAAGCAGACTCCCTCAGTGCTCGCCGCGTGATGAGCCCTCAGCTATCTCACCATGATTACGTCTCGACTCACAGTGGCAGCCCGCTTAAACGGCAACTTTCAAACCATAGCGGGAGCACACACGACTTCGCCCCGGGTCCAGCGACTATGATGTCGTCTCCTCCACAAAGTCCCGCTCAATTACTTGAACATTACGAACAGGCTTCGACCAAATCAGCGCAACCAGCGCCTCTGGCTACCAGCAATGTTCCCAGTGGTCCTGTGGAACGTTCACCTGAATCAGACATCACCACCAATCCGTCCATCATCCGAGGTCCGATAGGCGGTCTGGCGCAGGGCAACACGGAGCACTGGCCTTATGATCCAACACCTCCACACTCTCGGGCTAACCTGGTGCTCCCGCCCGTGAGTCGCGACATTGGTTCAGCCGGCACAGATCTTATCCCCGAAGCCTTGTCCATTAACCGTGACCATGACCTGGAGCCAAAACGTGACCTCTATATACAGCCTCAACCTTTGTCGACACCTATCGGGGCTAAGGATGAAGGTTACGAGACCGGAGCAAACGTACCATCCCCAGGTTTATATTCTCAAGGTCGAGGAGTGCGAGACAGCTTTACACCGGAAGCACCAGTTGACAATGTTCCTATTGCAGATGATCCCTTCACCACCCAGCGAGACCAGTATGCCAGTGGACTTTCGCATGGCATGTCACCCATGTATGACAGTGCAACAGGCCGTGGACGCGATAATATCCAGTCCAAAGATATTGTGGCTCTCATGGATCATCTCACGATGCGCGACGCCCAAAGAAACGCAAGAGACACAGAAATTCTTGTGACGCTGGTTCGCAGTGCTGCAGAAATGCGCAACTCCTTTGAAGATATGAAAAAGTTCATCGCAGAACAGGACGATCTTATCATGGACACTGCTGATAAGCAACACGAAAGGACACAAAAGGTCATTGGGGGGCCGCGACCACAACCCACAGCTCCTTCTCGCCCGACGATGTCAGCAACCTCGGAGGAGGACACGCCAATGAAACGCCGCAACGTCTTTCAACGTGCGCTTAGAGGACTGGGTGCTAAGAACTCGCAAGAGTTGCAGAATATTGAGGCAATGCTAATGCGTCTTTTGGACGAAGTTGAGGCACTGAGGGTTTCGCAGCCTACCGCAGTGGCAAGGGAACAGCCTAGATCTACGAGCTTGGCCTCTGCGGATAATGCTCGTGCTCCGACAGACACAGGATATGAGCCAGAGGGTCAAGCCGGGACCTCATCAACTGGTGATCGCTCTGGATATTTTTCCAACAACTCCTCTCGCCAGGCGGATTACCGCAACTACAATATACATCGAGATTCTGGTAACCGAGTGAGCACAGTCATGGAAGGCGACGAAGAATATGACGACTATGCGAATAATGCAGGCGGTGCTACAGCCGGGAATGCCCAAGTCGTCAGCCACACGCCGTTGAACACGCCCCCAAGACATGATGGAATTCGACAAACCAGAGGTGGTTCGGTTCCGTTGAACACACCACCTCGGACGCAGGACCAAAACACGGGGTCGCTAAGTCATGAAAATACACCGCACCTCTCGGCGGGAGACGCATCTGGAAGGAAGCATAAGTCTTTTGCATCTTCCTTTATTCCTAAAATGGTGTCTCGGTGGTCCAAGACTACTTCATCATCTGCCGACAATTTTCGCGCAAGTCAGCAACGAGTCAGACCCTACTCAGAGCACTCTCGGTCTGGATCCAACCTGGGAGAGTACGACTTCGAGCATGATCCTCAGGGGGATGACCGGATTCGGTCGAATACCTCATTCCTGCGAGATCAGTATGATGATATAGAGAACCGGCCACCGTCTCCTTTGGTTCCAAGCCAGTTGACGGACAACCCCAAGTATCAGGCTCACAGGAACAGCCTCAATCTTCAGCATCCACAACCTCGACAAGGACCAACAGGGCGCTTCCAGTCTCGTCTGGAATCCGAAGCACAGTACTATAATAATGAGCAGATCTCACCGACTTCGCAGACCTCGTCGCAGTGGGAGACTCACTCTGGGCTGCATCCGAACCATCACACGACCATCACCTATGGAGGACACCTCAGCCCCATTTCCGACTCACCGTACTCTGCAGAGCCAGGCCAAATGCATGACAATAGGAGCATTCGATCTGGAAGCTCTAATGGCCCGCCTCGGCCACCGAAGATCCCTAACGATGAGCCTTTGGTGCCGCAACGTCCAGCCAAGATGATGACGATGAGTCCCACTTCGTCAAACAGACAGCCGACCTACGTCGACCATGTTGCTGCAGCAAGAGCGGGAAGTCCAGCATTCGACAAGGTACGTTTTAAGATATCCACTTCTCGTGACGTCAATACTGACAAGATGCAGTCTCCCGTCGCAGCATTGAGATCGCCACAGAGTCAGACACGAAAGCCCTCAGGGCCGAGACCGCTCGCTGGATCAAGTGGATCCAAGGGGGAACTGAGTGCCGTCAAAAGAACTAGATTCAGAGGCAGTCCAAACCAGATTGACAGCGAGGACGAAGCCACTGCTGCATATTGAGTGCATGTTGCGTCTTTGATGGTAGTGAAGGTTCTTGAGCGCGAAACGTCAGTGTTGGCCATGAATGTCGTTTGAAGGGCGTATAGGACGGGTTTGATACTGGATAGTTGGACGAGGATGATTTGTTGCTAGGGCGATGGGCGTGACAAAAGATCTTGGTGTCAGCGTTATGCCTGAAATGAAGTTGGAAAATGCGAGCTGGACAACGCAGCGACTTTGATGACACGCTGGAGACTTTTGCTTCAGAGAGAAAGACAGAACTCCAACGGCATTGACGGACCTGAGCCACCCACCTGAGCAACCGAGATACGATACCATACCGTATTCGCATTCGGGCTGTGCCTGAGCGAGTAAAAAGATACCTAACGTAATGTCGATATAAGGAAGGAAGTCAAAAGGGGTTGGCCGGTTTTGCCCTCTTATTTCGCTATATCCATCTCGCGTTTGACGTCTTCCCTTGCGATGGCGATGGATGGCTTTGTATGACTTTCGATGACTTTGGCCTTGAATCCTTCTCCCACTCTCGCAGGTCGGGAGTCCGAGTCCGAGTCGTGATTTGGTGTTATGGTCGTTGTAATATAATATGGATGGATGGATGGATGAGTGCGTGGTGGACGTTGGTGGGTAATTAACCAAAGATACTGGGTCCATCTGTCTCTGTTTCCCACATGAGTACTCTCCACGGATTGTGCCTTGTTCCTTGTTTTTGTGGTTTTGTGTTCCGTGACTACGACTATGAATGACTCCGAGGTATGTATGTCGGTCCCTCGGTATGTAGTTCAGTTGTTGGGTCGATGACCTTCCAAGGCTGTGTGTGAACGAGGCTGGAGACGAGGCTGTGGGGATTAAGGGGTTCACTGACGTTGGTTGGGGGTTGGGGCGGGTAGGTGGAGACGGCCGATCCATTCCAACGACCGACCCAAGCAGGCTTTAACTTACTGCACAGGAGTGAGATTGGATATTACGAGGTACATACACACCGAAAAATTCGGTCTGATACTTACATAGTTAGTCCACGAGGGTCCACTGCAAAGCTACCTACCTACCTACCTACCAACCTACCACCATTCTCGACTCCCCTCCACTTCCTCCGCCAAGCAAATCCGCTCTTCAAGCCCCCCGAGGGAGAAGGAGAGGAAGAAGAGGGCTCGGGGCCAAATGTCACTCACGGTCGACCTGCCCTGCAAATGGCGCTCATGCATTGCATTGTATATGAGATATATAAGTAGTGGCCTGCGGCTGGGGACACTGGAAAAGATCGGGGAGAGTCGTTCATGCCTGGAATGGGGAACGGGACAGGGGTCCGGGTCCGGGTCCGGGTTCAGCTTCTTCCATGGATCGGAGGGTGAAGGGTCGGAGGGCAGATAGCGCGTGGTATGGTAAACAGTTCCAAGTTTGTTTGATCGAGATGACTAGATACCTACCTCCTCGGCTCCAGAACATTCCTGTCCTCTTGTGCGGTATCTTCTTTCCCTCACTCGATCAAGAATGTCCCCTTCCTGAACGCTCCTGGCGCAAAATCCTGCAGTTTGTTATGTACCAGCGTGATAACTCCCACCCTCTCCCAAAGACCCTCGGCCTCGCGAACCGTTTCAGTATCAAGCTTGTCAACAAGAAGTAGAACAAGATGCTCCCTGTACGTCCTTAAATTCCCTAGAACGATGGCGTCCCAGCGCTCTTCAACCAGCCGGCGACAGAACTCAACATCTTGTTTCGGATCTTTACTCAAACTCAGCCTGCCCTGAAACGCGTCATCGCCGCTGTACAGGATGGCGCCCCAATCATCGTCGTATGCATGCTGTGGAAAAAGGCTGATCTGGGTGGTGCTGGCTGTGATTCTTAGGCGGTAGTCCTGGGGGAGACTGGCCTTCTCTGCCGGACTCATTGCCTCAAAGTCGGCCCAGGAGACTGTCCGAGACGATACATCCCGAGGCACCATGGAAACCTCAATCGAATGTCCGGGCTGAAAAGCAATCGAAGAGCGCGATTGGCCATGAAGCGGGTGCCGCCGGCCCTTCCAGCCCGTCCAAGACCAGCTCGGGAATCCCTTGCGTCGAGGTACGGGCATCAGCCAGTACCAGCAAAGGCCGACTGCAAATGCCTCGAGAAGCGTTGGAATCCTACTCTTGTCCTTATCGTTTGCGGATTTCTCACGCACGAGCGGAACGCCGCACAAGTGGTACACGGGCGATTTACGCTCGGAAAACACCTGCAGGATGCCGAGAAAGGCATTGAGGATATCGGCGTCGAGCGTAAGGCGGCGTCGGGTGTACTCCCCGATGCAGGACCAGATATATTCGCCGTCACCACCCGTCCTTGCATCATGTCTCCTGCGGGGGAAAACTCGCATGTGCTCGTGCATCGGATAACGCGTGGCTGCGAGCCTGTGGACGTCGATAGGCAGCTCGACGGCCTCGCGGGCGACCATGCCCTTACACTCGTACGAGAGCTCGTGCTCGGTAAAGATCAACCGCCGTCGCGAGAGCATGCCTTCCTGGAACGTCCACCCACGTGTCCACCACACCGATTCCTCGACCTGCTCACGCGGCTCGCAGGGGACGGCGGTCAGCGCGTGGCCCTGGACTCGACCGTACGGACGACCGAGCTGAGCACGACTCACCCCTGGCAGCCCGAAGCTTGAGTTCCGACCCGCAGCAGCAACAATGGTGACCTCTGCGCTTTCATATACGCCGTTCATATGCAGGAGCTGCTCTTTGCGCATCTCTTGGTCCTCATTGGTGATGCAGTGTCGGTCGACCCAAAGGTACCTATACCCGAGCTCCAGGGTGACGTGGATGGCATCCTCGACGACACGCTCGGCATTCTCAACGCAGTGATGGTCCACTAGGCCTTTCGTCTTGGGCGAGGGACCCCAGACGTAGCTTAAAGCGACAAATCTGTGGGCCTCCGAGTCGCCCCCCTGGTCAACGACAGTCCTCGTCTTGCAATCGATGAAGCGAGCGTGAGGGATCCGCCGGTGCGTGTTTGCGTTACACCGTTTGCCGTGGTGTTCCACGCAGCAGGCGATCCAGCTACGAGCTTTGCTGAAGTCAATTCGGCGTCTCTTTAAACCGTGTAAAGTGAGGGAACGCAACTGGTTGGGGTCGTTTGACCCAACACGGCCAATGAAGCCAAAGGGCAGGATTTCCGACGGATCGATGCCCATTTGGGAACCCTTCGCTCTCCAGGCTCTCTTGAGGGCGGAATAGGCGGTCCAGTGTCCACTCTCTAAGCCGAGGACAATTGTGTCGACCCAGTCAGACTGGAAGTGGCGCTGGGCCACCACATTAGCCCCCGACAGCCATGTAGCACTGCTCGAGTAAGCGCACAGCTCGTATTTCGCAGGTCTATAGCCCATAAGAGAAGGGCAAACTGCTGCTATCAGCCGACACATGGCGCAGCGCCTCGATTTCCAGCTTTCGTCGATCTCGCCTAGGTCGGCTATAACAGTGAAGCCACCCTGTGGCTGCTGTGAGAATAGCGCATTGAGGTCGATGGTTTTGCATTGATGGCAAAGTGGCCCTTCATCTCCAACGTGATGCTCCTCTGCTTGAACCCCCAACTCGATATGGACTTCTCTCGGTGTCGGAGGTCTTGTTCTCCTACTGCATCGGGCCCCGGCTTCATCATCAGACAATCTGTCATATATCTCGGGGTCTGTGCCGCTCCAGTTGCTGTCGCTGTCCCCGCCACTGCCGGAATCGTCATCAAACCAATTCATCTTCATCCAACGTCTCCTCCTCCGCCGATAACGATCCGGCGAGCTCTCATAGGAAGGCCCAAACTTCGTACTCCCCTGGTGATTGCCCTCGTCAGAAGTATCTTCAAATGCGTGTCGGTCGCCTTTCGCATTTGCTGTGTCCGTTCTCTGCCGCTGCTCTTCATCTTCTCCGTCGATGGAGACGCCTTGCGTCAGGACATGAGAGCCTCTCTGGACACTCTCTCCGATACTTTCTGCACCTGACTTCAACCTCGCACCGGCCGCCCGTAGCTGACGAGCAACCACCTCATTCTGATCCTTCAGGGCCAATGAAAGCGGTGTATTGCCCTCTCGATCTCCATGATCGATATCGACACGGCCTGCCCCCTCCTTTAGGATGACCTCAATTAAACTCGACCCGCCCTCGCCTTGTACGGCCCACAATAGCGGCGTCCAGCCCTTGTCATCCTCGGCGTTAGGGTTCACGTCATCCCTCTGGATCAGCCTCTTCACCACCTCGTGAGAGGGCCATAATCTTTGTCCAACCGCCCACGATAGTGGCGTGCGCCCTGTATTATCCTTAGCGTCCGCGATCACTCCATCGAGCGACAACAACTTCTCCACGATAGATAAACGCCCAGAGCTAACAGCAAGCGAGAGCGGCGTGCGCCCTTCCCGGTCTTTGCAGTTGAGGCACACGTTTTCCGCCCCGGGCAGCGACGAAACGACCGCCTCGTCCCCATGCAGGACAGCGTGGTGGAGTGGTGTTCGCCCTTCCTCATCTTGGGTATCGACAGCAATATTAGTCTGTGCGAGCAGGAAAGCAACAACTTGATCCGTATCCTTGGACGAGCGGGCCGCATGGTGCAGGGGGGTTTGGCCGTGCTCGCAATGGGCATTGGCGTCCAACCCTCCCACCGTCAGTAACTTGTCCAAGATTTCCACGTCACCTCTCGCTGCTGCGTGGCATAGCGGTGTGTGTCCGTCGCGATCTCTCTGGCCAGGGTCCGCACCGCCAGAGGAAAGAATGGTTCTCACGATGTCCGAGGCACTGTTCTTGACAGCACAGGAAAGAAGTGACTCTCCCTCATCGTACCCACCCAGAGTGGGATCCGCCCCTCTTTTGAGCAGGAGCCTCGCAGTGCCATCCAGAGACCATCGTACCGCCGAGGCTAGAGGTGTCCGCCCTTGCTCATCCATGGTGTTGACATCCAACTCCTCGTACCCCAGCAGCAGTCCGACCATTGGCATGGCGTTATACATACCAGCCGCGAAAGCCAAAGGCGTCCGGCCCTGTGTATCGCGGGAATTAATATCAACGCGGTCAGAGTCGAGCAGGCACCGAACGACGGCTCGACGGCCCCTAGCGTCGTCAAATCGCATCCGTGTCGCTGGTGAAACGGCGAGCGAGAGTGGCGTACGGCCTTCGTGGTCCTGCGGGTCGGCAGCAACGCCATCGGTAGCAAGGAGGAGTTCTACGACTGACAGGTAGCCTTTCTCCGCTGCATCGGCCAGGGGTGTGCGGCCCTTTTTGTTCCTGGCTCCCCCGTCGGCGCCCTTTGCTAGCATCAGCTGGAGAACCTGGACGCGGCCCCAGCGTGCCGCCAACAACGCCGCTGTGTCCCCGTCATCGTTCGATAAGTTAGGCAGCACTCCGGCTGGGGAAAGCAAGAGTACCGCCACGCCATCGTGTTGCATCCTCACAGCGCCGTGTAGCGGAGTATCGCCGTGCTCGGATTGGGTATTCACATCGACGTCCATCTCAAGCAGCCACTGGACCACACGCTCGTCGCCTTCCTCCGCTGCCGCGTGTAGCAGCACTTCATGCTCGCCGGAGACGTCGGCGTGGGACAGAAACAACTCTACCACCCTGTGGAGGTTGCCTTTCACAGCGAACTCCAGCGAGGTGTACTCTCTATCACCCATGCTCCTTGGTTTGACCTTGGCGCTTGCTTGAATACCTAGCTGGGCCAGAAGCAGGCGAGCAATCTCGTCATGACCATGCATCACCGCGAGCGACAAGGGCGTATGCAGACCAATCGAAGACTCGGTCGTAGCTGCATTTACATCGGCGCCGTGTCTCACGAGCAAGTCTGCTATGGCGGTATGCCCCTCCTTCGCCGCGTACGATAAGGGTGATGTCCTGGAGAAATCCTTGAGGTTTGGGTTAGCGCCGCCACTCAACAGTCTCTCGATGATGGTGATGTGGCAGCGTTGGGTGGCCCGCAATACTGGAGTCTGACCTTCGCCGTCCCGAGCGTCGAGATCGACGTTTGCAGCATTAACGAGGGCCTGTACCGCTTCGTCGTGTCCTTCGTGCGCTGCCCAGGCGAGTGCAGTGCAGCCATGACCATCCCTAGCGTTGATCGAAAAGTCCGCCCTTCCACGTCGACTATCTGAGGGAATGAGTGCGTAGACGAGGTTGGTGATCCCGAAGTGCGCTGCCAGATGAATCCCGGCCATAAAATGTGGAAACTCTGACCAAGGGACTTTGTGCTTGGCCATGAAGAAGACCTGGAAGGCAGATTCGATGTGTGGTTTGGAAGATAATAACCCGAAATCCATATTCACCATGTCTGGGAACTTCGAGAAAGCCACTCGCGCATGGTACCCCCATCCCAGCGCCGCATAGCAGTAGAGCGGATAGGTTTGAAGCCGTCTCCTTACATCATCGTCAGAACGACACGAGCCGCTACGGAAGTAGCGCAGAGACAGATAGGCCATGCAAGCCGTTGCGATTTGCTTCTCTCTTGCCGGAAGCCATCGTTCACATGTCCGTTGGAGGTAGTCGTAGGTGGTGCGGTGGACTAGCTGCACTTTTGCGGTCTCGTCTACTTCTTCGTCCAGTTCCTCCTCTTCCTCTTCCTCCTCCTCCTCCTCCTCCTCCTCCTCCTCCTCCTCCTCCTCCTCTTCTTCTTCTTCTTCTTCTTCTTCTTCTTCTTCTTCTTCTTCTTCTTCTTCTTCTTCCGCCTCTGAATTACTACGATCTGAACCCCATGGCTCACGGCCAATGACAACGATTAACCCTGTGCAGACCGCAATGATGGCGTCGATTTGCGGCATGCTCGCCCGCTCGAGTTCGGTGTCGCTCGCCTCCACGGCAAGCGCATGACGCAGTTCAGTAACAGTCAAGGGTCTTGTTGCACATAGTACATACGAGAGAGCTCTTTTGGCCAGGTCGCTCTGGTCTAGGCTCTGCCTCTCAATCCGCTCCATCACGGCGTCGTAGGCCGCGTTGTATTCATCTATACTAGTGGTGTCGAGGGTAGCAACCACGCCAGAGAGAGCGGCTCGGATCGCTTCCGGTGACGGCTTTCCAGCCAGGGAGTGGATGTGGAGCATTGCGAGGAGAAACCTGAGCACAGATCTCTAAGCTCGGTGCCAAGGCGTGTACATTTGCAAAACTCACCTCCCATCAGCTACCCTGGCAATGGTCTCAGTGATCTCCTGCCGGAGGTCGGGCATATCCCCCAGAAACGCTGGAAGCTGGTCCATGATACACCGCTCCAGAAACGATCGCAGGTCGTCTTGATCGGCCCGGATCTCCAACGAAGCTGTGTTGACAAACCTCGATGCGATTTCTGGATCCAAATCGGACGTCGCTAGAAGGTGAATCGGGTTGTTGGCCTGCAGCTTAAATATCTCCTCGAGCAATCGGGTCCGATGGTCTACCGCACACTCGTCCAGTGCGTCCACAACAAAGAATACGCGATCGTACGTTCTGACGGCTCGCTCGAGCGTCGCAGCGATATTAGCCAGCGACGGCGGTCCGCCGTCCGGGCGGGCAAAAACCTCGTGGCATGTCTGACGTAGAGGCAAGAGTCGTGGTGGGCTCAACTGGTGGAGAAGGAGGAGGAGAAGATTCTCGGGAGATTGTTCTTCGTAAAGATGAAAGACGCAATAGATGTACGCGATGCCTATCTTCGAGGCAGAGGAGCCGGGCGCAAAGCGACAGCTGAGGTCCTCGACCACCGTGGAGGCAAGGATTGTCTTTCCTGCACCCGCTGGTCCGGGACAGAAGAGGGTTCGGAGATCCTGTGCTTGCTCTTCTGGATTCGGAGGATGGGGCTTTGCATGGACCCATTTCTGGTATGGCTCTGAGTTTAGAAACCACTGAAGCGACCCGGGATGGCGCTTCTGTGCGAACCCGGCTTGTTGACCATGATACGTGAGGGGAGCGAGCCATTCCAGCAGTTCTTGGAGTTCTCGGTCCTCAGGCTCTGAATCCGACATGTCGAGGATTCTGGGATTGTAGTGTAGACCTGATTTTGATCAATTAGCGGCAGTCAGACACGAGAACGACTTGTTCCGACGGTGACGGGCGAAGAGTAAACGTGCGCTCGCAATGGGAGCCTCAGGTATTTGGCAGACTTTGCGCGTCAACACAAGTTGAATGATGGCAAGACTGCATGTACTCGAGGTAAGATGGGTAGATAACTTCCGCCAACAGCACGGCACCATGTCACGGTGAGGCTGAGGCTCCTGTGCCCACCTTACCGCAATAGCCGGGCGCTATAGATGACCCAGCATTGAAGAGACTGCTAGGTCCCTGTGCCGAAGAAACACCGGAGGGTGGCCGCCATTAATTGGACGGCCAGGGCTTTCTTCGGACGGGGTGAACGTTCGAAACGAAATTACAGCCGCCTCCCCGGAAGGATGATGACCACTGTAACAGCGACAATTACTATAGATGTTGACAATGACAACACGGGCCAAGAGAGAACTTCTAGACAACATCAGATCGCCTTATCCCAGAAGTGCCTGTAGGACTTTATCGAGTTCTTCGGCGCATCTTTCGTGGCTCTTCATATTCATCGAGTTGTTCTCTTTTTCTGTGGCGACTTAATGCGGTTGTGACTCGCCGTCCGAGCTCATCGACGTCAAAGAAGCTATGCTAGGAGAGGCGTAGCTTCTCGCGCCCTCGGTGCTTAACAGCACAATAACAGCATCTTTCAACAATCCTGCGGGAGGAGAATCTGTCAAGCTGATTTTTTTGATTGCAGCAAGTGCCGCGGCTCCACAAGGCCCAGCATTGACATGATGGGATTGGAGATACTGGATGGATTCATGGCATTCCATGTCTGAGACTGTGATGCTGATATCGACTGCTCTGGAAAGGATTGGCCAGGAGATAGGAGAGACAGTTCCACAGTTCATACCATTCATGATGGTTGCCGATGTCTCGATTGTGTTCCATTCGCCAGATCGGAGGTTTTGGTGCAAACATGCAGCAGTCTCAGGCTCTACGGCCACCACACCAATGTGTCTGTCGTCAGACTTGCAAAAGACCGCAACAGAGTGACCCAAGGAGCCGACACCGATGGGAGTGACAATCATGGTCGCTTCCAGCCCCTGGGCATTGAGTTGCTCCTCGACTTCAAGCAAGAGTGTTGAATAGCCTTCCACGATCCAGGCCGGGATTTGTTCGTATCCGTCGAAAGCATTGTCTTGAATAAGAAGGCCACTTGGCGTCTTCTGTGATTCCTCAAAGGCCGTTGAGACGGCATCATCGTAGGTGCCGGATATGACCGTGACTTCTGCGCCTTCCCTCTCGATCTTTTGGCAGGTCTCATCGTCAGCAAATCTGGACATGAAGATCCGAACCGGGACGCCCAGTATCTTGCCCATTCGCGCCACAGCCCGGCCGTGGTTTCCTTCGGTAGCCGCAAAGAGTGTTGCCCTCGACCTCTTCGCTGCAACTGAAGCGTCTTCAAGGCTCGAGTCAAGGCCAAGTCCATGCTGCTCAGCGATCGCACGGAAAGTACCCCATGAAGCACCCAGGATCTTGAAAGACGGCAATCCGAGCCGGCTACTTTCGTCTTTGACGAAGATTGCTTTGACATTGAGCTCTTTGGCGAGATCGTCCAGGGGGACAATCGGGGTCTTTTTGTACCCGGGGAGGCGCTTGTGGAAAGCCTGCGCAAGGGTTATATCTGCATCGTACGTGTGTGTGTAGGATTGAGCCTGCGGATTCGCAAATATGATTGAGTTGGACATGGTTTTCCTAATTAGAGCAACGCCACGTCTCGTCAATTGATAGCCCGGGGAATGCTCTGCGGACCTTTTCTCGAGGGCTGCTTCTATCCGCAAGCTACAACAATCCTACCTCATTGGAGGGTTTATGATTTCTCCGATGATGGAACTCGGGTTGTGGGAGGGCGTGAGAGTCAGCTTCCTGGCAATTGGTTTTGCTAGTGGTTCCCGGAAATGACCCGGACGGGCACAAGTTACAGCCAATGTAATCCACAAGAAGTCTCATTGATTCAAGTGACTTGATCTGTTGTCGAGGATTGAGATGATCCTATTCTCCTTCTCCCAACCAGGGATGCGCTGGAGGGGAACTCAAGGGCTCGGGTTCGCATGAATATTAATCCGTGACATCCAATCATGTTTGCAGGGACAGCCCGGCTCAAGGCTGCAGCAATGACGATGTTTAACAGGACAAGAGGATCAGGCTGGTGAGGCTGGTGGCTGGTTGAGCTATCTCACCACACCTGCGTCAGAGGTCGACCTGCCAGCTGGCGTGTCTCTATTGGCCGCTTCATTGCAAAGGCTACATATTCTGCCAGCAAATCCAGAAGATGTGACCCCTGCAGCACACAGCACCCGCGTGCTCCCCAACTTGCTCACCAGTCGACGAGAGTGGGTGTCGCTCGCACATCTCAGTGATTGGCTCTCGACAATATCCCGCGGCCCAAGCGCACTAAATCTTGGTGTTCTGTCATCTGAAGGGGTTGCTTTTAGTGAAGAAGCCCGCCATGGCTGGGGACGAGGTGAAGAGAAGGAAGACTCCTCGTCACAAACATGGTGATCCTGGACTGCCAAAATCCCGAAAGCGATCCGAGGATGATAGCACGACATCGAAATCGCCCGCCACCGCCGATAGTCCCGCCGATATCGATGCCCTCAGAAAGGCCAGACTCACATATCTAGCCAAATCTCCCGAGGAACGCCGAAAAGATATGAAGTACGAGTATGTAAAACGGACAAAGACGTCGGAAGCAGACGAAGAGAAGGACGAGCGCCACAAGGCTGTGCGAGGCCAGGTCATTGATCGGGAGGATCGAAAACCTGAGCGCCGTTCCACCACGCGCACAGATAGCAATCGACGAGCCGTAGCGCAAGACGAGAGCGAAGATGACTACGTTTATTCCAGAAACGAAAGATCATCCGGCGCAGGCAGCACGGGCGCAACACAGATAGAGACATCTCGTACCCAGAGAACGAAATCCCAAAGTCAAAAGCCCAAAAAGACGGAAACAACGCGAAGAGCGCCGGAGCGACGGTATACGGAGCCAGCCAGAAGGAAGGAAGTATACGTCTTTGATGAGTAGGTCTCATTCATCCGGCATCATACCCCAGGCTGACTGCATTTTCCAGAGTACCCTGCGCAGGCAAAGAAACGCATCCGCTACCACGTCGAATGTCTATTGTGACCGAGAAACCACAGAAACCCGAGATCAAGAGAAGCGCTACAACTGTAAAACCCAAGGTTGAAGTGGGTGTCGCAAAATCCGAGGTCACTGGAACGCCCAAGAAGGGATCAGGCCTTTTGAGCGGACTTCTGCCACCTAAACCAGCACCACAAAGAAAAGTCTCTTGCCTCACTTGCGGTGACGATGAAATTCCAGTGGCGCAATCCGCTCTCCTGCCTTGTAAGCACCGCATGTGCAATACATGCCTCAAGCGGGTCTTCAAGATGTCCGTTTCCGACCCTGCGCACATGCCACCTCGGTGCTGTACGGATCAGCACATTGCACTCAAGCACGTCGAGAAATTGTTCGACGACAAATTCAAGGTACTTTGGAACCGCAAGTTTCAAGAATACAAGACCAAGAATCGAGTCTATTGTCCGGGTCGGAAATGCGGCGCCTGGATTAAACCACACTACATCACCATAGAAAATGGCCGGAAAGTGGGCCGTTGCAAACAATGCAAAACAAAGGTTTGCCCGACTTGTTCTCAGAAGATGCATACGACTCGTGAGTGCCCCAAGGACCCGGAGACAAAGGCTTTCATCGAAACGGCGAAAGAGAAAGGTTGGCAAAGATGTTACAGCTGTCACGCTATGGTCGAGTTGAAGGAAGGCTGCAATCATATGACATGCCGCTGCACGGCTGAATTCTGTATGGTATGTGGTCTGAAATGGAAATCCTGCGACTGCCCGTGGTTCAACTACGAAGCTGTTGATGCGAATATGGGGGATCCTATGCGCTATCAACAAGAAATGGACCGACGCCGGGATCAAGTCAACCGTGATGAAGAGCTCGCTCGACGCATGCAACAAATGGGGCTAGGCGACGATGGTGAAGGTCCAGCTGCTCGTATGTTTGGGCTGGGAAATGGAGCGAACCACCACATGAATCAGAACTTCATCCAGCAAGCGCGTGAAGCGCTGACGGCCAATTATGCACAAGCGGGCCAGGCTGCTATGGGCCTTTTAAATGGCTTCGTTAGGGGTCGAGAAAACCCCTTGCCTGGTATACCCATGGAGATGGAACAAATGCTGGAAATGCTCGGGCAAGGTGGTCGTATGCGCGACCCAGCAGAGGGCGAGGATCCAGGACGGAGGACTGGGCGACGAGCGGCAAATAGACGAAGACAAGCTGGCCTCGACGAAGCAAGAGGAGCCGACAGACGAATTCATGATTGGGTACATGGCAGGGCTTGATATGATAGCAACCGGTTCGCGCATTAACTGGACGACGTCGTCCATGTTCTACGAGGTGCAAGTCTACGATTGGGCTCATGATCCTGGGATTTTATACGGACGGATGGGCAGGAAGAGACGGAAGGGCGCTCGCGATGGTAATCTTCGGCTTTTGGATACCCACGGGCGAGCGTACCACGGTGTTGGGAATATCGACGGGGTCAACAGACCAGATGAAAGGTTTCGTATCTATCATGAGGTGATATGTATCTCGATGAGCCAGGCCCCAGACTACAAGGGCCTGTACAAGCAGACGTTTATATTATGTGACGGATGGACTTTTTTGACGAGATGCAATGACTCTCAGGTTCAATGACAAGGGTTTGGGTTTCTGTGCAAAGAGAACAACTTTTCATTCGTAACTGTTTTCCGTAACCCTTGGACAGAACAGCCACATGCCTTCAGGTACGTAGAGTGGGTGTTTTAAAGTCTACAGAGATAGGGGATTCTTTCTCGGCATCCTTCACACATCTTTGAACAGGCTCTCCAGCTCTCTCGCCACCGCATCGCCGACTTCGACGGTCGTGTTTTCTCCGCCAATGTCCTTGGTGACGATGCCCTTCTCGATGACAATCTTCACGGCCTGCTCCACGAGTAGGCTCTCCCGGGGCATGTTCAGACTGTACAACAACATCATTGCGACGCTCAGGATGGCGGCGACGGGGTTGATGACACCCTTTCCGGCGATGTCCGGTGCGGAGCCGTGGATGGGCTCGTAGATGCCGTTGCACAGTCCCTTGCCGTCTGGAATGCCGCTGAGACTGGCGCTGGGGAGCAGGCCGAGGCTGCCGGGGATGACGGAGGCTTCGTCGGAGATGATGTCGCCGAACAAGTTCGACGTGACGATGACGCCGTTCAGGGCGCGGGGGTTCTTCACCATGATCATGGCGGCCGAGTCGATCAGTTGGTGTTCGAATTCGAGCTGCGGGAACTCCTTCTGCATTGTCTCTGTAAAAACCCGGCGCCACAGGCGGGATGTGGCTAGGACGTTGGCCTTGTCGAGACTCCAGACCTTGGAGGGAGGGTTCTTCGCCAGGGCGAGGTAGGCTCCCAGTCGCGTGATGCGCTCGATCTCCTTTCTCGAGTACGGTTCGCGGTCCTCGGCCCACTCGTTCTCGCCGTCCTCGGGTTTTCCTTCGACGCGCTCGCCGAAGTAGATCCCGCCGGTCAACTCGCGGACGATCATGAAGTCGGTTCCCTGGCAGACCTCTTCCTTGAGCGGGGAACGTGAGGCGAGACTGGGAGAGGCGAAGAAGCAAGGTCGTAGGTTGCCAAAGGTGCCCATCTCCTTGCGGAGTTTGAGGAGACCCTGCTCTGGGCGGACCTTGCCCACGCCATACTTGGGACCGCCGATTGCGCCGAGGAGGACGGCGTGGGCGGATTTGGCAGCACTCAGGGCCTCGTCCGTCAAGGGTGTACCGTGGGCGTCAATCGAGCACTGCGGAACAGTACCAGGTCAGAAATATGGGCGGGTTTCGTACCCCGGATGGGACTGCACACTCACCCCTCCCAGCAGATGGTCTTGGAAGTTGAACTGGACATCCTTGGAGCACTTCTCTACCACCTTGAGGACCTGTTGCACACCATTCCATCAGTCACTGTTTGCCGTCATTCATTTGACCTGATTATAACACAGGTGTTCAAGATCTCTCGGATTTTCACAGACCTTCACAGCCTCTTTGGTCACCTAGAAGCATCCGACCGTTAGCGACGCCTTCGACCTCTGCAGGATACATACCTCGGGACCTGCATAGTCGCCAGCAAAGACGACAATATTGTACGCTGGCATCTTGGCTCTTTTGGGTTGTGCGTGCAGATGAAGTGTGGCTAGTAATTATGACTTCAGGTCGCTTTGTTCACTTTGAATTGGCACGTTGAATACATGCGAGTTTGCTGCTCTTTTGTCTGACGGGGAATGTACTCGCCGATATCGGGCACTTCACGTGCCACACTGGGTGCCACACACCCGCAACCTGGACTCGAAACTCGTCTGACATTTTCATTTCTCTGCCGCAGTCCCGCAAAAACGGTCTGTCAATGGTCGGTCATTACTATCGACACTGTGCCGTCTAAAGAACAATATGTCCCTCCTCGATCCCAGACAGGTCAATGGCGGACTCTCTCAAACGGCCCACGGTCAATGCCACTTTAGGCTCCAGGCAAACTCTCCCTGCGCCGACTGGCTGGCTATCTCCAACATCTTAAGAGGTGGGAGCGAGCCTTTGATGTTACATGGAACAGACATGATCTGCATGGGAAACCTACATGGGCTGAGTGACGTGCTCGGTCAGGCAGCATCATTCTGGCCAGACACATATCAATACTCGAGGGCCACATCCAACCTCATACTACACAATGTGCTTACATCGAGGTAGGTTTGTCGTGTGAGAATGGCTTACCTGCTATCCAACAGTTCAGATTCACTGTTCGGTCCCGCATACGAGGGTCCGTCCAGGAGCTTTGACTTTACAGTCCTCTTTGAAGACACAATTCTCACAATTCTCCCTGCGGCCCTCTTCCTTGTCTCTGCCACTGCAAGGGCAGCGTGGCTGACAAGCAAACCGAATAAGGTCAATACCTCCTTAAGCCGGTTAACCAAGCTTGTGAGAACTACTCTACAGAGCTGGATTGGCAGAATAGCTCACCCCTCACAGGTACTCCTGTCTGCATTTGTCACAGTACAACTGACGGTGCTTCTCGCTCGAGCAACAAACTCCGAGGTAGCAACAAAGGCTTCTGTTGCAGCAGCCGCACTTGACTTTGCAGCATCGTGCGTACTTTTTGTTCTGTCGTGCTTCGAGCACTCGCGTTCAGTGACACCTTCCACCATCATTGGGCTCTACCTGATCGTTTCGTTGCTGTTTGGCGCTGTCCAGCTCCGGACCTTCTGTCTGCTCCGCGGATATGCCGCCAAAAGCATTGCCAATCTGTTGTCCCTGTCGCTGGCGATAAAACTGGGAGTCTTGGTCACTGAAGCGGTCGAGAAGCGTGGAATACTCCTGGAACCATATCGTGATCTTCCTCTGGAAGCCACTAGTGGTATCTATAACAAATCCGTGTTCTGGTGGCTAAACCCTCTTCTAAGGCTGGGGTTTAGCAAGACTCTGAGAGTTGACGACCTGTATAACCTGGATGAAAAACTGACGTCGGCAAATGTTGCTGCACGTTTCAGAAGAGCCTGGGAAGATACAAAGGAACATCGCCGGTTCACTCTCTGCTTCGTGTCGGCATATGTCTTGAGATGGCAGCTTTTGGTCTCGGCTTGCCCTCGCCTCTTCCTCATAGGCGCCAAATTTGCGCAGCCATTCCTGGTTCAGCAAACGATTCAGTATGTTTCCAACCGCACCACTCAGACGGCCGCTCTCGGGTGGGGACTGACAGGAGCATACTTCCTGGTCTATCTCGCTCAAGCTATTCTGGAGGCCATGTCTCGTCATCTCCTTAATCGTTGTGTTACCCAAGTTCGAGGCGGGCTGGTTTCTCTGCTCTACCAAAAGTCACTTGAGCTCAGCATCGTCACAGTCGACCCGTCAGCGTCTTTGACCTTGATGTCATCCGATATACAGAGGATTGTTGATCCACTCGTGTTTGTGCATACCACCTGGGCCAGCATTGTCGAAGTTTCAATCGCCATATATCTGCTGTATCAGCGCCTGGGCAGTGCATGCTATGCTCCAGCGATTGTTTATGTCCTCTCGATGCTGGGGACCGCCTGGGTGGTCAAAGTAATCGGTCGGTATCAAAAGCGATGGCTGAACGCAGTCCAGACTCGTGTTTCGTTCACGTCGGCCTTGCTACATTCTATAAGGAACGTCAAACTCCTCGGCATGTCCTCGATCATCAGGGATCGCACTCAGGGACTTCGACAGTGGGAGATCAGCGAATGCAAAAAGTATCGTATCATCAACAATTATCAAGTTCTCATCCAAAATGGACACATCGTTTTCGCACCGTTTGCAACTTTCCTGGTCTACTACATCAGGTCTCGCAACACCGGAGAAGCCCTCGATATAGCGACCGCGTTCAGCATTTTAACCATATTCCGCTTGATTGAAAGCCCCATGCAGAATCTGTTGTACAGCTGTCCTCAATTAGCAAGTTCGCTTTCATGCTTTGAACGGATACAGCAATATCTACTCTCTAACTCTCGCCACGACAATCGGCTTTCATTGTTGAACCACGATAATTCGGACGGGCACTGGGCCGGGCCTACTGTGGGCACTGAGGCTTTCGAGATGAGGGGGTTGCGAAGTGCTGGCAGTAGCACTGTAGAAGAGGCTTTAGTTCTCAAAGATTGTTCTTTTGGTTGGACTGAGCATGGTCCGCCTGTTGTGCAGGATATCGATCTATCCGTCCATGCTGGTACCGTCACCATGATCGTTGGTCCCGTGGGATGTGGAAAATCCACTTTGGTCAAGGGTATTTTGAGCGAGACCCCGGTGTCCCATGGGTTTGTTTATGTTCGAACTCAATCTGTCGCCTTTGCTGATCAGGAGCCTTGGATCCAGAATGGCACGATCAGGGACACCATTCGCGGCCCGGATTCAAGGAATATCCCATACGAAGGTGACTCCTGGTACCACGAAGTCATCGATTGCTGTGGACTAGCGGAGGATATCTCCGTCCTTGCAAAGGGTGACCAAACATTGATCGGTTCCAAAGGTATTTCCCTGAGCGGTGGACAAAAACAGCGACTTGCTCTCGCTAGAGCTGTCTATTCCAGGGCATCCATCCTTGTGCTTGACGACGTCTTCTCAGGCCTCGACAACGACACGGAGGAATTGATATTCAAGAAACTCTTCAGTCGTTCCGGACCGCTGAGACGGCAGAACACCACGGTTATTTTGGTCACACACGCTGTGCATCGTCTTCCACATGCAGATTGCATTGTGAGTCTCGATGTGAATGGTCGAATCTGCGAACAGGGCAGCTATCCCCACCTGGTAAGTCAGCGTGGCTACGTCCATAGCCTTGACGTTCAATCGAGAAAGGAGCATCGACGTCCCACGCAAGAAGAAGTCGAGTCCTCCCCCGAGGTTGGAACATTCCTTAAAGTGTCCACGGGATCGCAGACTGTCGAAGAGGAGAATGAAAATGCTCAAGATCTCATGCGAAGGACCGGAGAATGGTCCTCATACAAGCATTGGTTTCGTGCCTGCGGCTATCTTTCGAGCTTGCTCTCTCTTGTCTGGGCATTTCTCTTCGTCATTGCCAGCCAGGCACCAGGCGTGTTGGTCAAAGCATTCCCGGGCGACACTCCTTCGCAAGCGACCATATTCATCATCATCTTCGGTATAGCATGCATCATTGCCGCAATAGCCATCGTGCTCCTGGTGATTCAAATCCTTCTCAACATGCAACCGAAAAGCTCTAGCAACCTCCATCTGAGCCTTCTGGAAGCAGTCCTGAACGCGCCGTTATCCTTCTTCACACGCACCGACATTGGATCTGCCACGAGCCGATTTGGCCAGGACATGGCACTTGTCGACTCCGAGCTGCCATTCTCGTATGCCGATTTCGTGCTCTCTTTCGTATCCTGTGTTGCCGGGCTTGGACTGATGGCTGCCTCTGGCACGGGGTATTTTGCTGCCACTATTCCCTTCGTCCTCGCGGCCATGTATGGAATCCAAAAATACTATCTGCGAACGAGCCGCCAAATGCGTCTTTTGGACCTGGAGGAGAAGGCCCCGCTGTACACACTGTTTGGCGAGACGGCTGCCGGACTGGCCAGCGTTCGTGCTTTTGGCTGGGCAGATAAGTTCGCCGAGCGAAATCTGGAGCTGCTGGACCGAAGCCAACGGCCATTCTACTTGATGTACTGTATCCAACAGTGGCTCGGGGTCGTCTTGGATCTCTTGGTGACGGGGCTTGTGACAATACTGATGGTGATTATTGTGGCGAAGAGGGAATCCATCGGGCCGGGCCTCGTGGGACTGGGTCTATTGAGCACGGTCAATCTGAGCAGCAACTTGACAAACTTGGTCCGGTGTTGGACCCTGTTGGAGACTAGCATTGGAGCCATCAGCCGCCTGAGGGATTTTGTCACGAATATCGAATCCGAGCACAAGGCGTGGGAAGTCGAGCAGGTGCCAACCCAATGGCCAGAGCACGGACAATTGAACTTCACGGGGTTTGGAGCCAGCTACTCGGAGGACTCTATGCTGGTTCTGAAAGACATCAATTTGGAGGTGCGACGTGGTGAGAAGTTGGGCATCTGTGGGCGGTCGGGAAGTGGCAAGAGTTCAATGCTGGCCAGTCTCTTCCACCTGCTCGAGTTTCGCAGTGGACAGATCCAGATCGACGGGGTCGACATCTCTCGTGTTCCGCGCGAGACACTCCGCGCGAAGCTCAACGTGATTCCACAGGAACCGTGGTGGGTGACGACCGAGTCTGTGCGGTTCAACATGGACCCGTGGACGGCTGCAAATGCACCAGAACCCGGAAATCCCTCGAGCCGTCGTGACTGCGACCGCGACGCAATCTTCATTGCGACACTAACCCAATGCCAGATCTGGGCCGTCATCCAAGAAAAAGGCGGCCTCGACGCGACCATGACGCCCGACTTTCTCAGCCACGGCCAGCGCCAGCTCTTCTGCCTCGCCCGCGCCATGGTGCGGCAGAGCAAAGTCGTCGTGCTGGACGAGGTCAGCGCAAACGTCGACGTCAAGACCGACCGGCTCATGCAGCGCATCATCCGCGAGAGGTTCCGCGACTGCACCGTCATCGCCGTGGCGCATCGGCTAAACACCATCGAGGACTCGGATCGGGTCGCCGTCCTGAGCCAGGGCAGGGTGGTCGAAGTGGGCGAGCCGAGAGCCTTGCTCGGAGCCGAGAAGAGTTGGTTCAAGGATCTATACGAGTTGCGAGAATGAGAATGAGTGTTCATTCATTTCCCTCTTCCTCTCCCTCTCCCTCTTCGTCCTTCAGAGTCCTGCTGCTAGCTGGCTGGAGGAATCAAGACAACTTAATCACCCATGAATCCTTCCTTTGGGGCACCGAAATAAAGTGGAAGCAGATATCTAGTCCGTCACCAAGTGAAGCTGTCGACGGTTCACTGTGGGGGCAAAAGGGCAGAAGGGGCAAAAAGCGAACGCACAAGGCTACACGAGCACTTTATTTTCCCACGGAATTTCCTTGACAATTGTGTGGTTCTAGGATGTGTCGACTATCAAAACTCGCCGGAATAGAAATCGCTTCTAATAGTACATGTGACCACCAAGTAACCACCTAGGTCTGCCACTGTGCCGCATCCCTCTCCGTTGCCTGTGTCGTTCATGCTTTGGTCTCTTCTTACTGTGATTAGCGGTGGAGGCCCAAGAAGCGACAACGGCTGCTGTTCGGTGCGGGCCGATGCCAGACCATGGCGACTGGGGCAGATCTACGAGGTAGTGGCGGCCGAGACACGAGCCGAGTCGAGGAGAGACGACGGGTTGGGCGGCTGGATAGACTGCTTGTCCAACCTTTTTTCATCACGTAAACGACGCATGGATCTTGGGACGGGACAGACTTGCTGAATTTTATTCGACTCCTATCCTTTGTGTCTCTCGAGCACGGCTGCAAAATAGTCAAAAACGGGCAGTTAGATGGTGCACATAGTGCTTTTGCTTGGGCCTCCGGCAGCTTTACAATTGTCCAACCAACCGGGGTCCAGCTTAGTGCTGTTGTAGTATGCAACGACGCTCCCGACAGTCATAAATACGTCCGAAGTGCTAGGCGTTCCGCTCCACCATTGGTTCCCATCTGCCCATAACTTGAGTTGTAGGTTGCCGCCCTCTTTTGGGACGTTGTTGGTATTCTTGTGAACAAGCTTGCCATCAACGTAAAAAGCGACCCCAAGGTCCGGGTGGCTGTCAAAGCGATATTCGCGAAACACATCTGTGCTGAATTGGGGATCGTCTAATGACTTGGCCAAGGTCGCGCCTGGGACGGGAGAGCCATCTGGCGCACTAGACGGATGTGAAGTGAAGCTAATCGTGTTGTTCACAAGCGAAGTGCCTTTTGTGACAATCTCCATGTCAATTTCTGATCGGTCGTCCTGCGCCGCAGTTAGATCCCAGCCTCAGGCGGAGAAGGAGAGCGTGAGGCTGCTAACACGATACCAAAAGAATCCCGCACAGGCGCCACCGTTGGATCCCTCGACTTTGAAAACTGCTCGGTAGGTTCCGTAGAGCATGTCAATCTGTCGACTCTGGATACCGGCAATGCTGACCGTCGCGTAAGCACCCAGGTCTTCCCGGCTGTAGCCACGTTGCCTCATGACAAGGTGTTTCCCCTTGATCTTGACATTTGTCCAGTCATATTTCGCGTTCAAGCGGATGGTTGGATTGTCGGCGCGCTGCTAATAATCGTAGATCATCCAATCTCGGTTGAACGTGGCAGCCTCTTGATTGTTGAGAAGCAGATCAATATCGGGATATTGGGTGAAATTGTGATAAAGCCGGTGCGTATAAACATGGCGCTGTTCTTCCAAGAGCCAGCCACAGGGACAGTTGACACCGAGGGACTGGGCAACCTGAATAAGTATAAGACTGCAGATGAGAAAGTGATGCATGCTTGCAGGATGATGTTGAGCGAATTATGCTATGGGTTGTCATGTCGAAGAATGAAGGCAAACATGTCAACACCTCCAGCGGCGTTGTTCCGACGGTTTGTTGCGCTGGTTTCTCGGAAGGCAAGGCCCGATCCCAGTCTGTTGTCATTGACCTTCTGGCCCCGAGGAAGGCCCGAATTATGAGTCCCTTGGATGAAGGCGCGGTCGATCTAGTAGGGTCTGTATCTCGTATCTGTGACCTTCTTGGGTTTCGTGCCTTTAACAGGAGTGATAGGTAGACCGCTGCCGTATGGACGAAATGCCATAATGCGTCCGTCTTCGCCTGCCGTGAAAATTGTACCGTCCTGCGGAGGCTGTTAGCATGAGCTTGCAGAGATCGACAAGGTTAGTTGACCCACGGTTTCGTCTGCAAATATTGATCGAACAACCTCTCCACCATGGGCATTTTCGAGGACGATTCGCTGGTCCACATTGAGGCCTGTTCCTCGGCCCACTCGGACCAAGTCAACACGAGAATTGCTGCCAGAAGAGTCAGGGTTGAGAGAAGACGGCAGCGGTGGAGCGAGGCTATACGCACCTATGCGAGCCACAAGCCACGACATGGTCCGTGCCGCTTTGGAGGATGTCAATCACATATTCACAGGGGATAATTGGTCTCAGATCGCCCAACTGATCCGGTGCTGGTTGATCTGTTTCCGCATCTGCGTCATCAACAGTGAGAGAGTGCAGCGCCAGATTCTGGTCCGAACTCAAAGCGTATAGATTTGTTGGTCCCAAGAAGCCTGCCTTGTGAATTGGACCATGGTTGACGGCCTGAAGCAGACTGTCCTGCTCTTCCTGAATTTGGGTGTCAAACACGCAGACTACACCGTCATCGCCTCCGCTCAGAAGCAGATTATCCCTGGAGGGGTGGAAGCCCAATGCCGTGATTTCATCGTTGATCTCAGCATTCTGCCATCTGACCTTCGCTTGTCTTCGATCCCTACCAGGTTGGGTCAGTTGCTGATTTGCTTGGGCAGCACGGAAACGGGATCGAATGTGACACAAAGCCAGATGTGGACCTACCAGACGGATACGAGCGCTTCGCTGCCAAGAGCCACATCGTTCAGCCTGAGAGCCAGAGAATTGACAGGTTTGGCTTGCAGCAGATATAGTCGGTTAGCCTCAGCACCACTATGAGAGGGGATTTGTCTGTTTCCTCACCCGACTTGAAGTGGGCAACACTGGACTGAGTTCGGACGTCAAAAATTGCCACGGTCCCATCGTCTCCAGCACAAATCAGACTTGTTCCCTGCTCGTCAACCACCAAAGAAGAGAGCCTATGGGGCACCCCTTGAATCCCCATGGGGTTGGAAACCGCCAGGTTGTCCCTATCGAGGAGAAGAAGCTCATCGGCAGAAGTGATGGCAGCAAGTCCGCGTCCCGCGACGGGGGCTATTGCAAAAATGTAGACGTCTTCATGCGTGGATGGCGCACAGCTGGCGAGCGGTTGGTAGAGTTGGAGCATATCGCAGAGAGGGCGGCGCACTAGGTTGGACCAGTCGGGGGGTCAGGACAGTGATAGAACCGCTTCAGCCTTTTGGACGAATGCTGGAAACAACTGGCGGTGTGCAAGGCATACAGGCAATGAACGGGATTTGGGAAGAAAAAAGAGTACAGATATTGAGTTCAAAGGATGTAGTTAGTGGTTGTAGGCAACGAATCATGGACAAGATAACAATGATGGTGGCTTGATTTTCCCACAGTGATCAGCGCAGTTACTGTACGAGGAATTTGTACGGGAGCACGAGGCACTGCACGAGTCAGTTGAGGTTGTACGGAGGGGTAGAGATCTGGTGCCTAGCACCACCAAGAACGAGTACCGAGTTCATAGGCTACGGGGCACCCGGGGCCCACAAGCATGCCGAAGAGTCACGCTCTCCCCCTTCAGGGCCACTAGGATGTCCTGAAAGGTAGTCGTAGGTTGAAAGTGCATGCAAGCCCCTCACCTCTGTTAGGAAGGTCGTGAGAAGTCATAGCCTAAGCAGCTACTTGGGAGTAATCCTCTCTACCAAGAGCCCGCTACTGTGGCCACAAGGCTCAATGCAAGGAGAAAATAGCCCAAACACTATGTACAGTCCTTTGTCCTTGTACTCACTTGCACTCGGTCGGGTTGACAGCACAGAGCCAGGGCTTGAGTCTGTTTCAAAGCCAGCTATAAATGCCACATAGGAAGAGGGTACGAGGTACTTGTACTTGCACTGCAGGTAACTAACCTCACCTAGCCGTGCTAAGCGAGCAAACGATGTTTGGGCTGCTTATACCTATCAGGGAGACCCGAGGAAAAAGAGGGAGCGTTGGACTTGGGAGACTCGGGCCACTCTCCGGGGCACACTGTGTTGGGAAGGTTCTACCAACCAGCTACGGGAGTGCCCATTCGCTATTAGGTTAGTTAAGACGCTTCGGCTCGCGCTGGAATCAAGCATCCCCCCTCCTTTTGCCAGGCCCCGGCGGTGCCGGGTGTCAATGATGACCTACAGAACGGGGTCCCAGCAGTCTGGAAAGCCCCTGGTCAATTAATTCCCTTGCTCACTTGACAAGTAAGGACACAGGGACCCCCCACCGACGTGCACCTTGATATGCAAACAATAATTGCTGCGGGGTTGCTACCGGTGGCAGCTGCCACGCCTACCTACCCGGGCATCTAGGCATGGAAACATCTACAACTTCTACTCACTCCTTTTGGGCGACCTGCGCCTGTCATCCACTATCTGGCTTGCTAGCGGGCGCAACGACCCGTAACCCACTTGGCTATTCAGATGAGTTACAGTACCTCAGACTCGTAGGGATGCCCTTGATGGTTGGCTGCTTTCTGCAAGCCTCTTTGCGCATTTCGACGACTTGTCCTCTCCAGCCAGACTACTGTGAGCAAGCACTCACGGCACCCTAGCTTTCTCATCCCAGTTTCGGAGCATTCAGCCGTCTCTTCCACGACAAAATCTGGACGTCAGTTGGGTTTCCCCCCGACTGCCTGACTTTTTTTGCGTCACTCCACCGGCCTGTTGTACGCTGTCCGAGTTCTCCACCCTAATGCCGATGTCTACCCTTCTTGTGGATGCTCTTGCTGGCTCGCAATTCTTCATCTGACGAGATCGGCCCTCCTTCGTGTGAACTGGTGGGATTTTACCATGCCCCCCATCCCCTCCCTCCCGTCCCCTCAGGATGCATCGCACAAGCCCTGACCCGCTGCTTCGTCAAACCTGAATACGAATGTCAAATGCTCAGTGGTCAAGCTAGTACGCAAGAGAAGAGTCCAGCGCAATACAACATACCCACATCCTTCGAATCTGCTCCTACAAGGGTTGGGCTACGCTGATCGCCTAGCCAGAAGCCATTTATGGAAAATAAGAAGACCACCTGAGGCCTTTTTTCGCTCCCTCTGTGTCTTGTCTATCAGTCATTTCGCTGCAAGCCACTTCTTTCGTGCGCCCGGCATTTCAGTCGCGCATCGGGCGCAAACACCAAGCAACAGCTTTCATGTGTGGTGATACAATCCCTCTTCGCTGGGCTGGTTGATTTGAGAACGGCCGGTTTTCTGGGGACCTAGTCGGGCACCTCTGCACTCACCACCCGAATCCTAGCCACTTCATCTTCTAACCCGGGTCACCAAGTGTCACAAAATCTGTGACGGCAACGCTTGGGTGGCCCATTCTCTAGCCTAAACTGGCCACCTCCGTCGAGGTATATACGGACAAAAGATGGTTGACGGTCAATCCCAAGCATCCAACTTCTTTGTCCCTCCAAACTTCGAAGTCCATTTACAACCCTCCTCAACACCAGCGATGACTCCCGAACTGCCTCCCTGGAGGACGAGGGTGCAACGATTTGGCCGAGAATATGGCGCCTACAGAATGTAAGCACCTCAAATTTTACCACCTAGAAACGGCTAACACAAGATTGACTCCAGTGGACAATATATGTTTCCCCACGACGAGGCCGAGAAGAGAAGGATGGATATGGTGCACACAATGCTCAAGGTCCTCAGACCAAAGCATCGACGAATCACGGAAGTCCCGCACGAAATTCTCCGGATCCAGACAGATGGGTGGGACGATCGACCTCGTCGGCCTCGAGTCCTCGACTTGGGTTGCGGCACCGGCGTCTGGATCATCGACATGTCACACACCTTCAAGGATGCAGAGTTCAGGGGCGTTGACATACAATTCCAAGGGCCACCGAATCCCAGTGATTCCGTCGACTACACCGTGCCCTGGGATTACGAGGGTCCGTGGGCTTTGGGCGAAGCATCTTGGGATCTTATTCACCTTCAAATGGGATTGGGCAGTGTGGCAAACTGGGACAGGCTCTTTGAGAAAATTTTCGCCCATCTCGTTCCCGGGGGTTACTTTGAATGGGTCGAGTTTGATTTCGAGCCTCGGTGTGATGACGGTACGCTACAACATGGCAAACTGACCGAGTGGTGGGATCTCTACATCAAGTCTACGTACGAAGCAGCCGGTCGTCGTCTGCACTGGGATCCATCAGCAGTGGACACGTTGAGGCGCGTGGGGTTCAGGGATGTCCAGCATATCGTATTCCAGATTCCGTTGAATACCTGGGGCAAGAACGAGGACTATATGTATCGCATGTCACAATGGTGGCAGCTGATGATGGGTCCCGACTGGAACGGTGGAGGTGCCTATGGACTTGAAGCCATCAGCCTTGCGCCTCTGTGCACGTTCTCTAATTGGCCTCCTGATCACGTCAAACGGCTTTGCAATGAAGCACTAGGCCAGGCTGCCGATACTAATGTCCATGTCTACAACCAAATCCATATCATCACGGCCAGAGCACCTCGCCGCAACGAACAATAGGTCGCGACCCCTGTGTTCTGGAAGCGATCTCTGAGTACTTTTTGCTTCGACAGGCGATGCATCCTACTCTGGATATACAGGACGAGCAGGAACATCGCCACACTGGGAGCAGCCACGCTGGGAGCACTTGAGGGAGCAAGAGGAGAACAAAGTGGTGGATCACGAATGTCATATATCTTCTGCGTCTTACAGGCCCTTCGGTGTGTCCCTGTGTGCCACAAGGTGTGCAAATCCTCCTGGCAAGAGTTTTCCACAATCTCAAACTTCTTGTCTTGAGTGCGCCAAACACTGGATAGCCTTGTACGTTGTACAATGACGCGATATACGCCACAAAGGAGGAGGAAGATGTGATTCTTTCATGATGGTAGCGATTGACGAGCAGCGCAATGAATGGATTGGCAGCATTACGGCTATTCGGTCGATCTTCGCCGATGGTGCAACCACACGCGCTATTGGGGTCGAAGGACTTTTTATCTCTTTGGTGTGTAGCCCCTTGATAGCGAGCTTTGGCTTGTTCGTAATATGTGGATATGAAGAGGGGAAGTTTAGGAAAGGCAGACAGCGGAGAAGGAGAAGAGAGGGAGAGAGACAGAGCACTTTGAGCACGGCCGAATGACAAAGAATTAATACGCAAGGAGACGACAGAACCCATTAGTAAATGACCACGACCTTTTCTGGCTGTGAAAGGAGTGAGACATTGTCTGCTCGCATTTTACGTACGGGGTTCAATTATCATTTTGGGATTTTTCCATCGAGGTGGAAGTTCTTGCATTCATTTTGCCAGCGATCCATTCTGCTGGGGAGCCGAGTATTAGCCTTCACCACCGAGAAACCCGCAGCAGAGAGAAGCATGTCTCTGCGACTTGCAGACTGACCGAATGATTGAGCTTTGGATTGAATCGGATTGGATTGGATTGGATTGATCAATATTCTTTTTTTGCTCCGGTCCTTCATTGGTCGTCATCCAGGCAATGCAAGTTTTAAGAAAAAAACCCGACACACACAGTCTCTCGCTTTCACACCGTCGTCATTGTTTTGTTCGAGGTGTCTCTACCCTCATCCGTCCGATGGCTTGCTTGGACTCCTCAGCCTCGAATAGTTCTAAACCCTCTTCCCCGTTTTTTCAGATTCTCGTGTCACAATGTTTTCAATGACCCCCGTTACAGCCCCTCAAACCAACATCTCCTCTTCCGTAACTGCGAATCTAGACCGTTAACCCTCCGTGTCGCAAGAACCACACATCAACGCTCGGCAAATTCACTCTTTGGAGGATCGACGTGAAGCTTAGGCGAAGGTGGTGGGTCTCTTGGAGGTGAAGAGCTTCTTTGAGCGGTTGCTGCGGTGGGGGAGCGGGAATTTGAGGTTGCGGGTAATCAGCTGCTTGATGTATGGTCGCTTGACGTCGTTGGGGTTGGTGATCTCGACGACTTTGAGGATCTAGATGGCGTATTATTAGCAAGGAATAAATTTTTTGGGGGACATTTCGAAAGGAAAAGGTGGAGGGTTTGGGAGAAATTTGGATTTTTCTCAAAGAGCAGGGAGAAAGGGAGAAGACACTGGCAAAGGGGGAAAACGTACGTGGATGCTCCTGAATCGGGCACGATGTCTGGCAGCCATATCCTGGTACAGGGCCTCGACGGCGTCGGTGCGGCTCATCTCTCGGTACTCCTTGTACATGTTGTGCGTGCCGGATCGCGAGTCGTATCGGATCCAGATGCCGAAGTTCTTGACCTTCAAGGGCCGCTTCTCGTGGATGACGTTGAGGGACACGACCTCACCGGTGGATTTCTTGAGCTTTCGCAGCTTGGACAAAAAGTACCAGAAGCGCGACTTGGCGACCACGGTGTTGGGTGCGAAGATGCGCATGCGGTACAGCTTGGGCGTCGGATTCGCATCGGTGGGCAACGACCGGCCGATGACCTGGTATTCCTGAAGGCGACCTGTATGGGCAGACGAGTCTGTCAGTTTTGCGTTCTATTTCGAAGAAACAGTTGCTGCCATTGTGACAGGTTTGGGTATTCATTGGAGGTCGAATTTCCATCTGAAGACGGGGATCCTTCTCTTTTGACGCTCTGCTTTTTGGGGGCTTCGAGATCCGTTGGTCTTCTCATGTATACGTGTCTTCACAGGCTTTTACATCGTTTGTTCTGTGCGTTCCATCCCAGAAATTCCCCAATCAAAAATTCCTCGCAGGCGCTCTTCGACTCGGCAAAAGGGACTTGTAGGAAAAGAATTGTGGGTGCGCAGACTTACCCATCTATACCGGGTTAGCATTTCAAATCTCCAGAGACGGGTTCTTACATACCTTGACTGTGTGTGATCGACCTCAAATCGTGGCTCGTCGTCGATGTGCTTTGATCGCTGAGAAAGTCCAACTGCGAGGCTTCAGAATTCAAGTTTCAATCTGGGTTTCGTGTGCCAAGAATTCGTTTTGGCTTGGCGCTCCTTCCCCTCTGCACCGTGATTGGTTGGCCGGACTTTCTTCGTTTTGTCCAGGGAGCCCAAACGACTTCGCTCGTACACATTGCTCTTCATTTGTCCTTAAAGGTAAGTAATTTTACCATAGCATTTGGTCAGATGGGGAGTATCTTTGCGGATTTTCACCAAGCCCAGCGGTTAGGGCATGGCCCTTTGCTTGCATCATGCCTCGCTCCCATCGACACCGAAAGGGATCCCCGTCGACTCGAGTCATTTGCCCAGATCTCCAATTATCAGACTGTCTCGTCGGATGTACGATATCACATCATTCAAGACCGCAATGCTGCAAGACTGCCCAAAGCCGAAGCAACCGCTTGGGTTGACATCTTTGTTGATCTATGGAAATGCGTCAAAGAACTTGTCGCTCTGCGGCAGGGTACCGGGGCCGGTGACTGGTCCAAAGCCTTCGACGCCTACAAGGACTTGTGCAATCATCTGGTTAGAGGATACACAAATCATGGGTTTCAGGCATGGACTATTCCGTGCTTAAGTGTTGCAGGGAAGTACCTCCGCATGATAGCCATGAGAGCAGACAGTGAGATCAAAGCCAAAGAGGGCAATGGAGACGTCTTTGCGAGTGGCTTCTCAGACGATATCATGGGCGACACAAACAAGAACGAGAAACTGGAGCAGGCAGCCTGGACCATCAACCGAATGTTCACAACATGCTTGAGCGACCGAGCCGAGGAGAATGAGTCACGCAGATGGGGCATTTACAGCACCACCAACTTGCTGTTCAAGACATACTTCAAACTCAACTCGGTGTCGCTTACAAAAAATGTCATTCGTGCCTTGGAAGCCGCAGCAGATGACATCCCTGATCTGGTTCGATTTCCAAAATCCCACCAATGCACATTCAAGTACTACCGCGGAGTTATTGAGTTCCTGCAAGAGAACTACATTGAGGCAGAGCAGAATATGATGGAGGCATTCCAACTGTGTCATAAGGACTCGATGAAAAATCGCGAGCAAATCCTGACTTATCTCGTCCCGGCACACATCATCAACCACCATCAACTGCCCACCAACGCCCTATTGGCTCCTCATCCAACCCTATCAAAGATCTTCACACCATTATTCACTGCCATTCGCGCAGGCTCACTCGCTGCCTTCGACAGTGCTCTTTCAGAAGCCGAAGCTGAACTAGTCAAGCGCCGGGTCTATCTGACTCTTGAGCGCACCCGCGGTCTCTGCCTACGCAACCTATTCAGGAAGGTCTTCCTAGCAGCAGGATGGGAGGAAACCAAGGATGCAACCACCGGCGAAGTGACGGGCAAAATACGTCGAACAAGGATCCGCATCGAAGAATTCGAGGCCGCAATGCGCGTGAGTTATAAGGGTGCCACAGATGTGTTGGTTGATCGGGACGAAGTTGAGTGTTTCTTGGCCAATATGATTTACAAGGTACGTCGTATTGCCTCTCTTCATCATTTCTCCGCGCCCAATCGCCCCAATCTTCTTTCAAACAAAGACATGTCTCGCGCGAAGAACCACCGAGGACTACTGTTGCCTTGGCGATGGTTGGATGCCTGGTACAACATGGTCCATGTAACTCAACCAACGAAAGGCTTTTCTTGATCCCTGACCTAGAAAGGATTATGCTGATTTGGAATCTTTGGTCCCTTCGCCCCTAGCAGAACATGATGAAAGGCTACATCGCTCGCGACCGAGGCATTGTCGTACTTAGCAAGGCTGGCGCCTTTCCTGGTACGGGTGTCTGAGCACGAACACATGCCTTGCAACACTTGATCGATGTTGGCCGCCACACCTCGCGGACTCGACGGCTTGTATATCCGACAGGCAGATTTGCGCAACCTCGATCTTTGAGCTGATGCTATTGGAGCAATGGATGTATCGATGTCACACCCAGCACCGACCACGGTGCCGAGTTCAACATACCTACACTAAGGGCAAACAATCTTTTCCCAAAATGGACCAGTCCCGATGGAAAGAGGGCATGCATGTTGCCGGAAATGCAGTCCAATGGCCACCTGTGCAAAGGTACAACCTACGAGTGGTGCACAGTTCTAATTCAAGGCCGCCATTGTTCTGGCCTTTTGTTCTCAGGAATGACTGGTTCTCGATGTTCCTCAGGTGTGAGCCACCTCTTCGGCAAGGGAGAGTCGAAGTCGACCCGGCAGATAGAGCTGTTCGGCCTAGCCACTTCTGGCAACAATCGCTGGTGAACATGGCTCAAGTCCTAAGGGCAGTGTCCACACCTCCATCCTGCCGGGGAAGTACCACGGATCACAGTGGAATCGAAAGAGACAAGGGCCTGGGGACGAGAAGAGTAAGGAAACGGCTGATCGGCACATGGGAACGCGCTCCTCTTCTAACCAATCACGTCAGACTTCTGGGAAGTTTTCACCATGGAGGCTGAAGGCTGAGCGAGTTGAAGGAGGTGTGGATATGACCGGCCAAGGTGGGTGGTCATCAGAGGAAGATGTTAGTGCAGTATATTTCGACCCACTTTTTTCTTGAGCCTGAAGAGAAAGACTCAAGATACGAGTCCTTACAAACACAAGACAAGTATGAGTATGGTCAAAGGTACTCGGTTCCCTGCACACAGTCCCGCTGTGTGTGATTTGACCATCCAAGGGGTCCAGTCTCCGGCAAACTCAAATCCACCTTGTGCCCCTGTCTATGGAGTACTCGTACCTCTCGTTGCCTTGAGCTAGGCACCACTGCCTGCATTAGCGAAGCCCGGCCTGGACGGAGGATGTATCGACCAGGAAACGCAATCCAGGCTTCAGCGTGGCCTCAACTACCTCGTACTGGTTGCCTTTTTTTGCGACCACAGTGGCCCGGAATTTACGTGAGGGAAGGTAATGCCTGTCAATCGTGACTGGCTGAAAAGGGACGGAAAAGGAAGGACATGCAGGTGGATGGATCGCAGTTGCCCACCTTCTCCTTTTGTACGCATTTTCTTTATGAGCCTGGCGGAATCAGAAAGATACTCAATTTCAAAAGTCTGGCAGGCTCAAGTCAATGGTCTCTCTACAGCCGGTCAAAATACTGAGTTCCATTGCGATAGATTTTTCTTTGCTCCCTCAACGAGAAAGCAGTTTGAGCCCGCTGTATTCAAGACAACAAGGATTGAGTTGTTTTCAAAAAATCCTGATAGATAGCAATACTGCAATAGCAGACAAAAACCCGAGCAAGTTGCTTCACCAACCACTCACTCACTCACTCACTCACTACTCTCGTGCTTTGTCGTCTGGTGATCCTTTTTTCTCTCTCTTTCAGATAGACCCCGAAATGGTAGTAGTACACAACAGTCTTCATTTCCCCCTCCCGTCCTTGGGGATCGACTTTGGCCCATTTTCCAATAGTGGACAAAACAGGCAGGTAGGTAGTGTTGGTGGTTTCTTTTTTCTTCTGGGATGATGATACAAAAAAACGTAGCAGAGCAGACATAAATTGTGGCATCTGACGGGCACAATATCCCATGAACTCCGTCCGCACGGCAAAATTGGTACAAATTTGTGGTGAGAGTAGATGTTATATCCCTCACGGAGCTGGCAATTTATGATGGAAGGGGGACTAGCGTGATACAAACGGTACATTATTTTCCATCAGTCACTCTTTAGCGAGTGAATGGTGACGTAAAGGGCGAGCGTAGTGTTTTGAGATCGTCCTGTCATCGTACTTGGTCAGTCCACGCTATAGAACCTCAGGGGGGAAGTGCGGGCATACCATGTGGTTGCACATGGCGACGAAGAGATCAAAGAACAAGGTGCCGCCTTGCTCCATCTCGACCTTCATGGTGCCGCTCTTCTTGAAGTTGTTGCGGCTGCGGATGATCAAGGTCAGGTATTGGGCTCGAAGCTTCGAGTCAGAGTCGGGTGTATGGCTGTAAGCGTAGCGTGCCGACGCGAGGATTGTAGAGATCTGCATGCCCTGTCGCAGGCCTTGTTTGCGGAGGGCAAGGCGTTTGAGTTCTTCAAGGCCATACAGTTCGGCTGAACAGCTGGGAGGAGAGTGTCTGTTAGCATCGGCAAACAAAGAACGCAAGTAGTGGGGCACAACGTACTATATGACCGTATCCCTCATTAGGACTTGTTTGGTGGCATGATGATATATGGTCACGTTGGAGCCACTGGCTTCATCTTCCAACTCCCAGGTATCCTTTTTCTTGTTATGCAGCAGCTTTGGATAGTAATCTCCTTTGTAGAGGTATTCCAGCACAGCAGACAGAATCTCGGGCTGTTCGTCGGGTAAGTTGATTCTTCTGGCGTTGGATTCAAAAAACTGGCCTTTGCAGGCAGCGCTGAAGAAGGGGGAGCGCGAGAGGACTTCTTCGTGGCCGGCAAAGAGTCTCTGTTCGGGGCCAACGCAGATGGTGATGATGGCCGAGGTGAGGGTACTGTAGCAGGAAGTCAGCCATCAGAGCCTTGTGCTTGGAGGATATATGTCACTTACCTGCCGACGGGTGGGCTTGTATGAGTGCTGTGTTCTCTTCTATGAGACCTCATCGACTCGGACCGTTGGAGACCCCGAGTGACAGATTGCTCTCGGAACGAGGACTTGGGCTTTGTGGATTTGCTTGTTCCATAGCGAGAGGAGAAGCTGTTTGATGTTTGGGGTCTTTTGTTGCTGAACATGATTGTTTTCAGCTCCTGCGCTAAAAGAGGTCTTGTGTAGCTTATGTGGGAGAGTCACAAGTAGAAACGAGAGTCAGTAGCAGCGAATGTGATCAAGTCAACGGTGGCAAGGAAGCGATAGAAGGCAACATTGGTGCACGTAAAAAACTCAGAGGACAAAGGCAGGGGAACAAAACTGCCTGAAATCGATGGAATAATCAGTCGGGACGAGGAAGGAAGAAGAACACTTGGACCGCGGGCGAAAAAGAGCTGCTTTTTGATGGTCGGACATGGCGGCCAGCTTGCTCCCCTTTCAGAGAGCAGGGCTACTGGGGAAGCTTATCAATGTAACAAGTTTTCCCAGACCGCATGAGCCTAGAAATGAAGCTGGCGGAAGCCTGACACGCTCCCGCCCTCGCCGCGTCTCAGGTGGAGTCTCCTCAACACGAACCAAGCACGGAGGCATGTGACTGTTTAATGCAAGCACTTTAGGGTGTCGTGGGTCGTCTGGGGGCTGACTGTTGGCAATATGACTGGGCTGTCCGTTGTGACTCGACTCGGCTGGCAGCTTTCGCCCTCTGGCAAGTCTTCCTCTGGTACCCATCGCCCACCCATGTCTGTTCGGAGTTGCAAGGATACCCGGGGGACCAGAGCTAATAGTTCTGCAGGCGAAGCAAACTGCGTCCTCTGTATCGCCACCCGAACTTTTGTCCACTTACATGCCGAGTCCCGTCGGGGTCCAAATCCCCAGATTCGACTGATCAACTGTGAAGAGTCATAAAACCTACATGGCTAGCAAGCCACTTCCAGTCGGTGTAGCCGAAGCACAGATCGTCGCTGGCAGGTCTGAAGGAGAAAAGAGTAACGGAGTCCTACCGGAAGACTAGGGATGCCTACTCGTCTCGAAGTGTCCCTTGTATGTGACATTGTAAAATGATGGTGTACAGGCCATGTCTATCGGCGGAGTAAGGCGAAAAACATGAAACATCTAGGCGTCGTCCCTGGCATGCTACTCACTTGCCCGAATCAAGAAAGAACCCAGTCCTCGGCTCTGCACTTAATATGGTGCTTGGATGCCATTTGCTGCTAGTTTGTGTGCCCTGGCATTAGTGCTATATAAGTCTGATCACATCCATTCCCCCAATCAGCTATGCGTGTGTAGATGAAGCAATGAGAGCAGAGTTGGGGCCGATTCATCTATGACGATGTTATGTTGCGAAAGAAAACCTCCCGGATCTCAGTGGTAACAATGCCCTGCATATCAATCGGACAATCCTATGACTAAATTCCAGAAGAGGTCCTTCGCCATGTACGCCATTGCTGGCCCCATTTCATCACGATTCCAGCCGGCACACCTCAGCCGTATGCAAAATGCCGCGACGCATTGCTCTTGTGAATTCCATGACCCAGGGGCGATCCTGTGACGATGCCAAACCAACCACGAGTTTCCAGATGTGAGGGTAAGTGAAGTCCACTCGCGGAACAAACTTGGACTCTCGCATACTGTACCCAGACGAATCTGTCACAAAATGACTCTCTTTGCCTCTTTCGGATGGCTCTCAACCGGACAATAAGGACATTTGAATTTGGCACCTTTGCTGATCCTTTGCAATGATTCTTGAGCAATGACGTGGCAACAAGGCAGCATCATCGGAGGGTTCTGATCCGTGGTCTGTTCCTTTGATACCGGACACACGAAGATCGAATGGAATTGGTAGGAAGGGGGTAGAGGTGTTTCGACAGGAAGTTCATTTTCCGACGTCCATTCTGTCCGTTTCTGCTTCTGGATCGTCTGCAGTTTGTGCAGTATTGGTAAGGCGATTGCTCCAGCAGTAGCTGCTATGTACAACGGCGAATCGGCGGATAGCTCGAGGAGTGAACAGAATTCGCGCGTGAAAGAGGTTGCGACTTCATCCCACGTCGTAGAATTATCGAATCTGAGGCTGTATGGTGATTCCTCCAAATTGGAGCAAAAAGGTATAGCACCCATCAGCTGCTGTATCTCGATAAGATATCGACCACGGAAAGACTGGAATTCCCTTTGCGCGTATTGAAGTGCACGAATCGGTGCTTCGAAACTGTACTGATCTCCATCTCGACGGTCCAAGAAGAGACTGACAAATTGTAATCTGCAGAGTTCGAATTCAAGATTACTGCCACGAGCTTCCAGTGCTGCCGCGTTGCTCCTAGCCCAGTCGATGGCAGGCTGTAAATTGTGGTGGTCCTTGAGTTCACTCAAGATGTGGTACATGTTCAAAAACTGCTCCTGCATGCTCTCTTCCGCTTCCTTGTCCAGGCCCAAGGGGTGATCCATTGATACATCCTGTCCTAAATGGGCCGCTATCTCTTGCTGCGCCTGCTGCCTCTCAAGCGCCTCAGAATGAAGGGCCGACGCCACATCGAACAACCCTTCTCGAAGCAAATGGAGGTAGATTGCTCGGTTGATCAGAGCTGGGTGTGAGGACAGAGCATCAACCTCACTGCTCGGCACCTTGTCCTTGAATGCCTTGTCCAGAGCTCTCGTATATTTGTTGTGTAATCCATGTGTGTCCTTCAACCCCGAGAAGATGCCGTCGAACGATGTCTTGACGGGATTCTGTAGTTTTGCCAGAGTAATCTGTCTCGATGTAGGGTCTTCGGCTATGGTGTTCCTTGCCCTCTGAAGGGCTTTGATGATGTCGTCAACATGGCCAGTCGTCCTTGACAGCCTGCTGTTATTCCACACTTTCTCGTGCTCTTTCTGAATATTATCCATGTCGGGCCACCCTCATGAGTTGTGTTTGCGTCTCTTGGGCTATAAGTTGAGCGTGGCTTGTACCATCGTCGCCGATTTTTGTCCGAGTTCTGGTAGAAGATCGCTGGACAGAAGGTATTGACTAGAAGGCATATAGATACAGACCGGAGGCAGGGGATGGTTGTGTCTTCGAGGAAGCGCAGGTGACTTCGCCCACATTAACAAGCTTAGATGAAGTGGGCGGGTTCCGATGAGGTGGTAGATCCCTGATAAGTGGGTGGGTGGTATGGGCGGGCACGCGGGCTGTCGGTCAGGCGGGCGTGGGCGGTTTCTCTTTGGGTGGCAATATCCGCCGCCAACCAACCATCAACTTGCAACAACTGCCTCCTCTCAAGGCAACTCCGTATTGTTGGATCAATCAGTCCAACAGCCCCTGCCTCGACGTTTTATCTGTATAACCTCTCTCTTGTGCGAGGTGAGAGTTCCCGAAGCCCATATGGTTGAATAATGTTACCAGCTTAGTGCCTTGCACTGTACGAGGTTCTCGGTACTGACCGCCGACCACAATGTCATTCGTGGGAGCTGGGTTTCTCACCCCATACCATCATTCCAATTCCTTTGCCGGATCGCCAAAGGATAGGCCTGTTAAATCTAGCCCAAAAGATGAATATAAGCCTCAGAAGTCAAATACCATCGACACGTCGAGTCCCACGTCCAGCGGAGGCACTCAAGGACGAGCAGGCCCAAATCGAAAGCGCCTTGTTTTCGCCGATCCCGTCGCCTTTCGCTACCTTGAAGAAGACCCTGCGACCGATTCTATAGAACGATGGAGGCGTCTGGAAGGGTACGAGATGTATGTGGTCGAGCAATGGGCCTGCTCGAGAAGTCATCCGACCTTTATTATCTGTACCTACACCGGCGACCCTTCGCACTCAATCCTGGTGAACGTCCTTGCTGTACCCAGTGACGAAAGCACATGGTCTCCGAGATTACAGATCTATTTCCAAGCAGTCTCTCAATATCATGCAAAAGAGAAAGACACGCCTTTAGGCGCACTCATGGTCACCAACTTGAGTGGGTTTCCATCAGCTCTGACCGTGATCCCCGTCCCAGATGGCGATGTTAGGAAACATCGAGACGATTTCATTGTCAACGAGGACCTCAAACGCATGGGCTGCTCAGGGAGAGCCGGAATCAACTTGCAGCCACCTCAATCCTCTACCATTGCCAAATTCCACCACCTTTACCGGACAAGTGAGACCGTACCATTATATCAGTCGGTCATGGAACTGGTCCGGACATGCCAAATCGCCTTGGTCATGTACGACAAACTCCAACCGACATATGCGGATGGTTTACTTTGCGATGTGACCGAGCAAGCGATCAATGAGTGGTGGACAGACATTGGCACCTATTTCTATAATGTCGAACCGAACGACGGTATTCTGGGGCCAACCACTGTGGCAGCTCTCCTTGGGCTTCTTATTGGAGCTTATAATCGGCTCAAAGCCTTTGGATCCCCTGTGGGGAAGGACGTCTTAGACACCGTCTCGATGAAACGGGCCATCGGCCATTTCCAGAGAGGCCAGAAGATGGAAAAGTCTCGACGACTTGACAGAGAGACTCTCGATCGGCTTCACAGAGCTACGGCTAAAAATGCCAGCGGTGAAGGCTGGACGGTACCAAAGGCAGTCAAATCCACTGTTGCCGAGCTTAGTGGTAAAGGCGGGGAGATGGTCATGGGTATCGTAGGAGGTCGGGACAAAGCCGGTATCTCAGAAGCCGAAACCCTGGACATCGAACGTTTCGCTCAGCTCGTTACCGGTCCTAAGATGAAGTGGCTCTGGCAAGGGAAACCCCTCAAATCGGGCGACCCGTTCGCCTGGCCAACCGGCGATGTTGATCTTAAAGGCAGAGTCTTTTGTACTGATGACCAAGGCAATTTCCTATGGACAGGCAACCAACATGACTCTATGTCAGATGTAAACGCCCTCGAGCGGACAGATACGACATACACGAATCAATCGGACACCAAGTCCGGCCGACACCGTTTGCGAGGAGCTGTTGGAGGCCTGAAAAGCTATAATCATCGTTATCAAAAAGAAGTTGACGAGGCCCAGGATTGGGTTGAAAATGCCGCGACTAGAAACACCCCTCGAGATCACATGCTGAGAACGGCAACTGAGATCGCTCATTCATCTGAACCTCGTGCATTTGATATGCCCTTGGTCAATGCTGAACCGGTTTCGCCTCATGCCGAACGGCGTCAACCCCTGCGCCGAACTCAGACGACCACTGAGAAGAAGATTCCATCACACAGAGAGCAACTACGACCCGCGTTGCCAGGCGACTCGCCCAGGAAGAAGAAAGTCGAGGCCCAGTTGGCTGATCTACGCAATGAGTTCAAAGCGGACATCTACCGCAAATTCTCCGCTGCTGTGCCATATAAAGGTCTCAGTAGTCGGGTGCTGCGACGGACGCAGAGCAATGTTCAACTGATTGGTCATACCATCGACAGTCCCCGGCAAAACCGAATTAACCGACGCGTTTCCTTCAGCGTCGTAGAAAGTGCAGTTCTGGACACAGGCACAAACCTTTTGGAGGAAGGCATTGTGAAGGGCAAAATCGAGGGAGACCTTACCAATGCCCTAGCCGAACGTGACGCCCTGGCGGCCTCTGCCCAAAAGAAGGCTAAACGTATCCAACACATTCAGCAAGGTCTGATCCCGTACACGGAAAGCCGAGTGGTCCATGTGGAGAGTCTGGATCGGATCGCGCACCAACATCTCGAAGAACTCAATGAGCTGTACTATCATCGCCTTGAAGAATATCAGACTCTACAGGCTACCTCGTCTGACCTTGTATCGCAAGAGAAAACAGCTTTGACAGAGAGCTTCCGACGCATGGAAATGTTAGGAGCCAAAATGGATTATGAATTGGACAGCTTGCAGAGTCGACTGCAAGAGGTGGAGGATGCAGTGGATGACTTTGAAAGGAATGTGCTGCTGATCGAATCGCGGGCAAGGGAGTTGAACGGAGAAAACGAAGGGCTGTCTGCAAATTCGTCCTGGATTGCACGGGTGCTGAACTTTTTGGGACCAAAGAAGTAATGGGACAATATTATTGCGAGGTATGAGGAAAGGGATTCTCTTAGCGAGGCGTATGGGAGGTCTAAAAGTTGGTCGAATCGGGCCTTGGTATAGCAATCGCGAACTAAATAGTCCCAAAGTGTAGGATGTGAAGATTTGATGCTCTGCTCGATGCTCTGCTCGATTTTGACTGTGCCATCTCTCCATTTCCTCGCCAGATCCCTACCCAAGCAGAACTGTTCTGTGCCGATTCTATTGTAGAATCCGACTGAAATACTGTACACAATTTTTCCAACCCTGCGAATCCATCATGGTACCTTGATCTAGACTCGTAGATCCATGATGGCTGCGATGAAAAGGGTATAGAATCCCGTCCAGAGCCGAGCCATGTGCTCTTGGATTATGACCATCGACTGAGATGATGGAAGAACCTGATAACTCTTTCGCGGTTACATTCCAAACATACCTCCACCACCGCCTCCTCCTCCTTGTCTCATGGCGGCCTCGCCCTGCATCTTTTCTGACACTTTCATGTTGACTTCGAAGAACTTGGCTACACAGCGATCGAGACAGACACTCTCGGCTTTGTTGAGGTCGCCTTCGCGGTAGTCGGCCGGTATGCACTTCTTCAGGCAGGATTGCGTTAATCTGGGAGTGGTCAATGCGATATCCATCATAGGGAGGTGTCCGGAAGGCTCCTCAAAGAGGTTGAAAGAGATACAGCCCGGCCACGAAGGTTGTGTAGGTACCTGTTGAACATGTCTGAGACCATCTCAACTTCATTTTCAGCGGCTGCGATCTTTTCTGCGGACGTCGGTTGAGGCCGGCCGCCACCAAAGAGAAAGGACATGTTTGTAACTGGTAGCTCCTTTTCTTCTGGGGAGTTCTTATCGAAGGAAGAGCAGGTGATGTTTGTTTCTAAAAGATCTGGATAATATTGTCAAATGCACCAAGCATATGAAATGTAGCAATGAAAGTTGCGTGGCTCGGAGACGCACGCGAACCGCGAGGCGAAGTTTTCCCGAAGCTTTGGCGAAACATTTATTTTTCAATCGTTGGGTTCCCGCAACCGCAGCTATCAAACAAGTTGTCTGTGTATCCGAGTGCCAGGTCATTTTCCTGTTTCATGTAGCTTCATGTACGGGAGGTCGACGTGGCGAGCATGGCGTTCGACTCGTCGGCCAGCAAGAGGAAGGTGTGTCTTTGCTTACAATTCCTTTCCTTCACTCCTCTCCCGCCCGCCTAAATGACGAGACACCAAGAAGAACCGCTGCGAGTGATGCTGGCTTCGGCTGGCTTGTGATCAAACTTCTCCAATGATTGTCTGACCATGGCGAAAAGCACTGGAATATTCGTGCTCTTAACGTTACCACTTGGAAAGCCACTGACACTCTGTGTCCAGCGTCCCTGAAGCTGCCGCTGGGGATTACCTCTCACCCACATTCCTCCAGAGAAGAAGTGCGCGTCTGCAGACACCGCCATGGATCTCGCGAGCATACTTCTCGACGAGAGCATCGAACTTAAGCACCCACGGCACCTCGAAACTTGGAAGCCAGCATGCGACCAAAGAGGTAGAAGAGCGGCTTCAAGAACTCCAGAGTTCTACCATCACACTCTACCCGCGGTATCAACATATCCCTCAGGCGCGAAGCTTGCGAACACTGCAGGAGTACGTGGATACCAATGCTGGGGATGATGGTGCGATGGTTCCTGGTGACACGATAGAAGGCAAGGCTTGATCAACTGGGGAAGCGAAAGACGCAAATAGTTCTGACGGAAACATCAGTGTCTGGGAGAGTGACTTCCATCCGGCTGAGCGGTTCGAAATTGGCATTCGTTGATATCACCGAGGATCAGACCAAGCTACAAGTCATGCTGTCTCACTCATCACTCGAAGACAACGGCATAACCTTGACCGATTTCAAGCACTTTTGCCGGCTGTTGAGAAGAGGTGACTATATTTGTGAGTCTTCATACGTACATGCCGTGAAAGTCACCCCCGTTAACGTAGAGGTAAGCGCTGAAGGGAGTTCGACCGTACAAGGCCAAGAACGGTCAGGTCTCTATCCGGGCTGCTGCCATGCCCATAATTCTATCGCCTTGCCTCCAACGATTTCCAGTTGAGCATCGAGGGCTCGCAACGACGGAACTTGCAGAGTCCAACTTTCGACCTCGACATGTGGAAATGCAGACGGATCCCGAGATAATAGAGACCATGAAGGCCCGGGCTACACTCATACGGACAATGAGACAGTTCTTTGAGTCACGGGAATTTGTTGAAGTGTCCACTCCTATTCTGTCCGCCGCCGCGGGTGGTGCAACAGCGAAACCATTCGAGACCAAGGCAATGGAGTTTCCTCACCGGAAATTGAGCCTGCGGATTGCTCCAGAGCTCTGGTTGAAAAGGCTCATTGTCGGTGGGCTGGACAAGGTTTTTGAGATTGGACCTTCTTTTCGAAACGAAGGCCTCGACAAGACACACAATCCCGAGTTCACGACCTGCGAGTTCTACGCCGTCCGCCATGATCTGCGCCAACTGATGGACATGACCATGCGGCTCGTGATTGACATTCACCAGGCTATCAGAGCTCTTCCCTATCGATTTGCGAATGTACCCGCGCACCTCCTCGATTCTATTTGTGGTCCTTACGAGGAGCTTGACTTCATCCCTTCTCTCAACTCTGCCCTGGGGACCAATCTTCCCAATCTGTCCTCGCCGTCGGCTTACTCTGAGCTCCTGGAACTTTTCCGTTCTCGCAGTCTGCCCGTTCCCAGCAATCCCACCGTCCCTCGACTTGTCGACAAGCTTTCATCACTGTACCTCGAGCCGAACTCCCTACAGAAACCACTCTGGATCACAAATATCCCCGAGTGTCTGTCACCTTTGGCGAAATCTTACATCCATCCCACTGCACCCAATGGTCAACCCGTTGCTGCACGCGCAGAGTTGTTCATGGCCGGCAAGGAAGTCGTCAACTGTTACGAGGAAGAAAATTCGCCTTTTGAGCAAAGGAGAAAGTTCATGGAACAACAGAAATATGGCAGCCTTAAATCCCGCCCACAGGCGAAATCAATCGAGAACGGAATAACACCAGATGAAAATTTGGAAGGTGACGAAGAGGCGATGAAAGTTGACGAAGACTACCTACGGGCGCTGGAATGGGGACTTCCGCCCACGGGTGGATGGGGGTGTGGGATTGATAGGTTGATGATGCTCTTCACGGGAAAAGAGAGGATCGGAGATGTTCTCAGCTTTGGCAATCTGAGGGCCGTCACAAGGGGCGCGGAAGGGGACAGCAACACAGCAGTCGGAGGAAGCAAGTCTGATCAATGAGGTGAGGTCAAACCGACAGGCGAGCTGCTATCTCCCCCCCCCCCCCGAGAATGTCACCTGAGGGATGACTTGGACGATATCCCAAGACGAGGAGATGGGCCAGAAGAGGAGTATCTTGTACGATTAAACAGCACAAATGCCCGAATCAACGATTTTCAAAGGTTGTATCTTTCAAAAGCTGTAGACCATGCCCTTGTCAAGATGTCAAGATGTCCTGATCGGTCCGAGATGGACCAGGCATCGACGATCCAATCATGCAGCAAAGACAGTGATTTAGTGGAAGCAGTTCTGTCGTTTCCAGCAGCCAGCAGGAAGAAAATCCCAGCGTAGCCTCGAGATTGTCGCTTGAATAAGAGTGCTTCACAGGCTACCGAATCCCACCAGTGTCTCCCCCTTTTTGCAGCGCAGCCTTGCCCCCCACCAAAAAATTCCCATCCATTCCATTCCATTCCCGACTGGATAAGATATACCTACCTACCGGCCACCAGGCATGGATCCCCGTAGTATCGCTATCCTTATCCATGACCATGTCCATATCGATATCCACATGTGCCGGGTACGGATGGCATACGAGTAAGCACCGTCGGTAGCCAAGCTCCTTGGAGGATGAAGGATACAGGCTGAACCACAGCACTGCTCTACTCTGCTCTGCTCTCCCTCCATCCCTCCCTTCCCATTGTCCATTGTCGAAGCGCGCGCGGAATCTCGTGGGGACGCAAGTGTGTAACTTTGCAAAAAGAAACTTCGTTAATTTCGTATGTTCATCGTGGCATGCGATCCGTCGTTATGCGATTGATTGATTGATTGATTGATTGATTGAATCATCCCGTCCTCGGATCACTCCAGGTCGGTCAGCACCGTATTCTGTGTTTTTTCTGGGTCGATGATCTCAAAATTCTGATGGATTGAAGTGAGTAGTGGCTGGCAGGAGAAAAGACGAGTGAGAAGATAAAAAGAGGACAAAGCAAAGAAAAATGTGGGCTGGAATATAGCCGTGTCATGTAGGTAGGTAGGTAGGTAGGTACGTCTTGTTGCGTTGGTACATATGTTGTGGTCGTGTCTCATAATATGACTTGTGTATCGTAAGATCGTACGTAGTCTCGAGATCAGCACGCGCTCAGCGCGCTTTGCAAATAGGCTTGCGACGGGCCAGTTCTTTTTTCCATCGTGGCGAATGCTCGTTTCGAGCAGTCTGGGGACGAAATGCGGCAGCTAGAGGGAGAAAAAAAAAACCGGGCGAAAAAAGGTTGAAAAAAAAAACATGTCGTTGGCATCAGCTCTGGGAATCGATCGAGCTTCTTAGTGAGGCGGGCTCTTTGGTGTTAGAGCCGTGTGATAATTGGTTAATTTGTAAAGCTCGTTGAGCTCCCGCTCGATGTTCCTCCTCTAACGGTCGTTATCCATTAGTCGTTTTCGAGGTTCTCATGGTGGCTCGTCGTGGTCGGTGACAGAACGACTAATGATAGGGTGGTATGAGTTGAGTCGAGTCTCACTCGCCATCCCGTCTGCGTTTGCGGCTCGCTCGATGGACTTCTGGCCGTAGCGGCGCGCCGCTGTGTCGCAGCGGGCCTTGGCCGGTGGCCATGCGCTCCATCTTGAAGCGGTAAATCTGGCGCTCGATTCTGACCAGTTCTGGGGCCGTGACGATGTAGAGGCCATCGTAGCGAAAGCCCGAGACGGGCCGGTGCGGGACGATCTCTGCCAGTCGCCACGACCGGAACACCCGGACGGGGCGACCGGTCCTGTACGACTCGAAGAGGGACAGGGTCGCGTTGGTGGGACCTTCGCCCCTTGAGTTTCTTGTGATTCGCTCCACGCGATGGGTGACGGTGTCCTTGAGGTTGGTGGGCTCTGTGTCGCCGGCCTTCAGACGCAGGGCTGTGCCGTAGTAGTAGATCGTGTCGCCCTGGTCGACGTCGGCGTAGTATTCCTCTCGACCTTGGTCGTGATATCCCATCACGACACTCCGTGCCCCTTGCGTCTTCGAGCCTGAGATCCCCGCGATGATCGGTGCGTGAGCCCCGTCCCGCATCATCTCGGCGCGGTAACACCAGGTCTGACCGTTGACCAGGAGGCCGTGGCCGAAATAGTCCGCGTCGCGCTTGAACTTCCAGTCAGGATCTGGAAATAGCATGCGGTTAGGTCCGCGTTCCACGAGCCCGCGACGAGCGAGGACCCCCAGATCGCCAAGGTCCCACTTCCGACACAAGATTGTCAGGTCTTCGACGATATGTTCTGGGACAGCCTTTTCTCTCCGCATCTCCTTGTTATCGTCCGATAGAAACCTCTTCAAGTGCTCACGCACGCGAGACTCGTTGAGAATCTCTTCTGTCATTGAATGATTCTGCATCATCCTGATCCAGTCTTGGATCTTGGCAAAGGTATGCCGAATCGCCATTGTCATGCGTCCCCGTACGGGGATCTGATCGAGTAGCCTGACGATCGGTGTGGTCTCCTGTAGGGTGATGAAGGGCTCGTCTTCGGCGGGACGGTCCGGCGGCAGTCTGATATCAAGCCTCTTGTCAATATACGCGGCCCACAAACCCACGTCTCAATGTCAACTTACGTTTCAGCGCATTTTCGCATCTGGAGCCACTGCCACTTGGTCCACTCGAGTACTAGCGTCCGACAATCGATTTTGTGATCCCCCTTGTTTGGACAGACGAGACCTATCGGACAAATGCAACCTCGGTGACTGTTGTTTCCTCCACTTGGGTCTGGCGGGCTTGAGCCTGGGGGACGTGAGCTGCACTCCGCGGGATTGTCTGACACTTCACCGGACGCCGATTGTGCATGTTCGTTAGGTGGCGAGATCGGTGGTGAGCTTTCGTCAGTGTCTTGTGGTACTTCACTCGGCTGTTCTTCGGGTTCCTCTGAATTGACGCGAACAGGTTCCGGCGATCTCCTCTGTGATAACCTACTGTTCAATCGCAGTCGGTCTCTAGCATAGAACAGGTGACGGTCCGTGTATTCAATCTTTTCATGGCCGCCTTTGCCGCTGAGGGCGTCCTGCCGTGTGGCCTCGTCGCTGAGCTCCCGCTTTCTGCGAGCAAAGCTCTCAGCGAGGAATTGCATCGAATTGTGATACTCCGGCACAAACCTCTCAATTTCTGCGCGTATAGGGATTTTATCCCTCTCTTTCGCCCGGGGATTGCCCGAGCTCTCCTGTTGGGACGGCTGGTATCTTCTTCCTCGCTGCGCCAATGCTGACTGGCTTCCCTCATCGGTGAGGTCATGTCGTCGAGGACGCTCGTCAGAATCTCTTTGATTGACGAAACGGCTCTGTGAGCGCGGTCTATTAGGAACTAGGCCAACGCCAGGCATCTCCGTCATTCGATCATCGCCGCGATCATAACGGTTAGGACGCCGCGGTCGAAAATCCATATTTGGGAGTAATTAGGTGAACAGACCAGATATTTCCGAGTTGAGCTAATTGGGAGCGCGGGTGAGCACCAAGAAGCCGATAATATACTGGTCAATAGGTTGTAAAATACAACTTATAGTGTGAGATGAAGTGAATGGATTTTGGTCAAAGCAGGCATTAGTGAACCGGGTCCGATGACGGCGCATAGGGCTATATGGTTATTTCGTTCCAGATGCAAGAGTAGAAGAGGAACACAACAAGCTGGGCAGTAAAGGAGAGAGAGAAGGAGGTGGGGCTTGAGGGGGAATGAGTCGATTTGAAAAGTGTCGCTTAAGTAAGTGACGGGTGAAGTCTTGCGCTTTGTGGAAGAAGGGGAACAAGTAAATGTTTTCAAGCACATGATAGATATAGTGAAGAGGGGATAGTGAATGAGAGACAGAGAGACAGTTGACATGTGAGGGGCACGAGAGGTGAAGAGGAAGGGATAAGGCGAAGATGAGATGAAATGTATATCTCAGATTTGATATCAGTATACTCAGCAAGGGGATCTAGGTAGACCAGGAGGCGCGGGCGAGCAAAACCAGAGACTAAAGAAAGGTGACCCACGAATAGTCTGCCGTCCGAGATGAAAACTTGGGAGAGTCGTCGTCTGTGCCAGTGGTGCTGTTCGTGATATTCTCGCCGAAACCATTGAGTCCAAGGACCCAAAGGGACGTCTTTGCGTTCATGATCTTCGATACCAAGTACAGATCTCTCGATATCGCCTCCGCGCAAGGCTGAATGTTCTGTCTAGAGCAGTTCCGTGTTCGGTTTAGTGCCTTGGCGCTTGTCGAGCTTCCTCAAATGTCAACATTCGTTTTCCGTGTCAAGACTGAATGCCAGAGCACTCGTATCAATGAGATGTGCTCAAGTATGGCGGCGTTCGTTCTCCCCTGTCAAGACTCTTTCAGTTCGACATGCGGCTTCTCGGCTCAAGCGACCGCGGCCGCGACTCCCGATCACCCACCCACTCTCACCGTTGGTCCCTAGTCGTCAGTTTGGCGTGGAGTCAGTTCCAGCTTTCCTCCTGCCGCCTGTCGTCTTTGGAGGACTGTTGGTGACACTATGGACGTATAAGTGCTTCATGATGGTTGTTTTCCAGAACAAGATCATCTATATGCCTTCGGTCCCGCCATTCTCCCGATCGGAGAAAGTTAGCGATTATGCATCGCAATGCAAGCCTGTGGTATGGGTAGAACATGACCTCAAGGCCGCGGATGGGACGGCGATCAAGGTTTTAGAGGGATCGATTGAAGCTTCTGCTGAGCCTGAGGTGAAGAACCATGTTGTTGTTCTGTATTTGCAAGGGTAAGTTGCAGTGGTACATTCACTGCGCTTCCGCACCACTGAAATCGATCAGAAACGCATCGTCGTTGCCGCCTCGACTTCCCTACCTTTCAAACGTCTTGAAAAGCTTGTCACAAAATCAATCTAGTAAAAAGTACACCATGGTGGCTTTGTCTTATCGCGGTTTCTGGAAGTCAAAGGGGAGCCCATCTCAAAGTGGGATTGAGCTGGATGCCGAAGCGGCCTTGGAATGGATACGAAGTCGGTATCGTTGCGAAGGCACCAGGTTCGTGGTATGGGGCCAGTCTATTGGTGCTGGTGTCGCAACTGTGAGCCTGGCGAATCTGCTGAGACACGATAACTCAAGCCTTCATGGATTCTCTGGACTCCTCCTCGAAACGCCTTTCGTGGATTTGAGAGAAGTCCTCATCGCTCTCTATCCACAGAAATTTCTCCCTTACCGATATCTGTCCCCATTCTTGCGGTCGACGTGGGATAGCAAGACTGCTCTCCATCAGATTGGGAGGGCCAGACCAGATCTGAGAGTATTGATGTTGGAGGCGGGCAACGACGAGATTGTACCACCAGGACAAGCAGCCACCTTGGAGCAGATCTGTAAAGAAGAAAAACTGGAAGTGGATCGGAAAACTGTGGCTGGAGCATTGCATACCGAGGTAATGATCAAGGGTCAAGGTCGCAACCACATAGTGAGGTTTCTTCGCTCCATTTAAACGGGCAATAGATCTGTAGCACCCGAGGGTGTGTTCGGCAAGTGTCGAAAATTGCAAAACACTTGGTATAACCGCGGCTCATTCGTTGCAATGCTTCCTTTTCTGGAGGGAGGAACGGTGCTTCGGAGTGAATCAAACCAAGGCGAAATCTGATGGACCATATCTCGTCTTTCGGCGTCGTCGCTCTTGCGTGCATCCCATCGGGGATCCAAAAGTGCATCATGCTGGCCACCTTCTTCAAGGACGTAAACTTGGACGTCAGGCAGATCCCGTCCGTTCAAGGCTTTCTTCAGTTCGAGATAGCGCGTCGATTCCCAGGACGATCGACTGTGAGTACTGTACACGTAAACCCTCCGTACCAAAGACAGACTCGCGGCAGCAGTGTAGAGATTGAAGGCGGCCTTGAGGTCTACTCGTGCGCCTCGTAATCTCGTCATGAGACGCCAAGACAAGTGAACCGTCTGCACCGCCGTGTTGTCGACCAGCCAGCGGAGGAGTGCCTCATATGCTTCGGCCGAGAGGACCTGACGTTGGCGGCCGTAGATGTGTGATTCAGTGATGCGCTGCAGATGCCGCCGCGGGCATGAGGAAAACTCGAGGTCCAAGCCCAAGGCTAGGTTGATATTTGGACCAGTGCTAGCCAAACAATTCGCCAGGAAGGAAGATAGGCTCGGGGGTGTGATGTTGAGCACGGCGCGAGAATAAAAGATTGGCGCAGATTCGGCCGAGATGGTTTTGTTGACGAAGAACAGGGCTGGGATGCCAGCCGGTTTCTCAGCGTCGGACCAGTCTGGGTCGCAGAAAGCCTGCAGTTTGAGTTGCTGTCTTGGGAGACTGAAGCGGTAGATATTCTCTCGAACTTCGACGGGGAGGCTGAGGAAGGTAGTCATGTTTGTAGATGGCGGAGTGCTATGGGTTGGGAACAGCAATGTGAGGAGTGAGATATTTGATGTCTCGACCGCTTCGCACCTTGATACGATGGTAGATGCTAGCGTGTGCTACTCGCCCCTGTTGATTGGCCGAACTGAAGTACTAACTGCCTAACCCTCGGCTCACCTGCCGCCTTTATAGCAAAATCTAGGTACACTAATATGGTCCGTAGGTGCGCCCTCTCTTCGAAGTACACAGCAGTAAGAGCCTTATATACCGACCTGCCTTCGCTCTAGCAACCTTGGCCCCTGCTGAGACTGTATGCCCTTCGAAGAGCTGGCGTAGACAAGATCGTCAATCATGGGGCACGAGACCTTTGCATGTTAGTCGATAGCAGATGATATTCGTTCCGGGGGTTCAGTGATCCAGTAGGCATGGCATGAAGGTCCAGGTCGAACGGGAGCATTAAAATGTTGAAGTGTTTTGTGGGAGCAGGTGTCCCATGATAGGAGGTGGACATCCTATTTTCTCCTCGAATCTGCCAACCCTTAGTTGTGCCACTGACATAGATGACCAGCATTAGCGTCGTGCAGCCTCAGCAGGAATGTATCTGGCGGAGAGGTGATGAGAGAACGTAATCTCAGATGCTGCTTTCACTCATCATAAAAGTCTTGTCGTCAAGAGAGTTGGCAAGAACGGGCATGTAATCGACAAGCCTGGTGGCCTTATATCGGCCAGAAAAGCAACCCACACAAATCCGCAGGTGTTAAGAGATCAGGTCGATCAAAGAAATCGACACCCGTTCCGGTGATCGGATCAGCCAGACAATTGGCTCAAGCATGTGTCATTGTTCGCAAACCAAGGAAACGGGAGCCTGCGTCCCTTGGGCATCAAAGCCTACCAGGCCCCGGTGTTTGTAAGAGTGCGCACGCCGTAAGGCCGCATCAATGGCGAGTCAAGTGTTACAGGGTCATAGGACGTCAGTAGATCTGGAGACGCTCGGCCTAAGCCTCACACCTAAGCACCCGCAAGACTGCAAAGGGAATAGAATCAGGCACCAATTGGAGGGATACCTGTGAGCCAGGCAGAATGACGAGAATTTGGTCCAATGCGAAGGGCCGAACCTCAAGGAATAAAGACAAACAACAAACTCCACCAGTCAGATGGACCGTCGGGGGCGAAGACCTGGATCTGCCATCTGCACGATGATGGGGGGAGGATTCTCCCTTGCGGGCTCTGCGGGCTCTTTGTGGGCTGCTGTGGCTCTAGATGGCGGATAGGAAGCTTGACGGCTCGACGGGTTGTTGGAACAATCCGCTTGTCAACTAGTCATACCAAGGAAGCGGGAAGCTTTCAAGACTGCGACAATATCGCGGGGGTGACAATTGTGGCACAGTCAAGCGGTGAACACACCGGGAGCTCGCATGAATTCTCCCACAATCCTCTGTATTGAATCACATCCACATCCTGACCATCTCTTTGGACTCTATTCAACCTGATAATTGACTTTGGCTGCCGCGCGCGAGGCACCAGTTCTCTCCTTCTTGTGCCAGAGTGACTCGACATCTGCCACTTGATCCATTGCGACCAGTCCTCACTCCTCCACCCAACCTCCGCTATCCCAGATAACCTCGTCCTCCTCGCTCCCACTACGTCTCTTCCTCCCTCCAAACCGATCTCAGAAGTTGTGTAGGAGGGCGGTCTGATCATGAGAGCGACATCAACGGGCAACTCAAAGAAAAGGATCCTGTCTGCGGTTGTCCGCAGTATCGACGACGACGCTTCACAATAATGGAGCCCAACCAATCCGCGGGTTCTGCTCCTGGCTTTTGGAGATACCTGATTAATCCCGATAAAAGTGCAACTCTTCAATTCGAGCAGCTGTGTTGGGGCATTGCCAAAGTCATAGTGAGTCTACCGCATTGCTCCTCAAGGTCAACTCGCTTACTGGAGAAACAGGCTACTCTAGAGCCCGGACCTGACAACGAACTCACTCCATCACGTCTAGCGACATTCTACAGAACTGTAGGCGGCAACTATGACTCGCTCTTCCTCAAATCCTCTGACCACGCCCTCTCCTTCATGTACCAAACTCTCGGCTGCTTTCACTCGCTGCAGCCAACCCCAAGTCCCTTCGAGACACCCCGAATTCCGTGCCTGACACCAGCTGGATTCGCTCGCTGGCAAACGATCCAGTTGCTTCTCTGCCCAGAGGAAAATGTGTCGTTTATTCAAAAAGCGGTTCAGCTATGGAATGTCCCGATGCACAATGGTGGAACCTATCCAAAATACATTCCCAAGGACGTTTTCCCAACTCGACCAGACGAGGAGATGGAGAGATGGCACAAACTGGTGACTGGCAAACTGAACCAGCAAAACTACAACATGCGGCGCATAAAGAACTCTCCTTACCAGTCCCCACATCTTGAAGCCTATGACCGACGAGAAGGCTATTTCTCTGGCACGCAACCAGGGCGACCCACGAGGCCGTCGCGCAGCAGCTCCCGCGACGATCAAGATCATATGACGGATATCCATCGCCGACGGAGTAGTGTTCCAGATTTCCCTTCCCCGTCGGGAGAAAGAGGATCGCCGTGGGATCCTCGAAATCAGTATGAGGCACGCAAGACTCGCAGCCATTCGGCTCAAAGACCTTCTCCAAAACCTTCACCGCGCCAGCGGTCGCATACAACAACAGCTCCTCCCGGTCACCACAAAACCTCGTCGAACAGCCCGTCGAATCGGAGACAAGCGACTGCGCCACCAGAGCAACCTGGACGACGACCCTCGTCTGGATACAATACCGCACCGTACCGTTCGCCCGCACGCAGTCCCTCAACCGTCGACGAAGATACCGGCAGCGAGGGAAGTTCGGAGGCTTCACAGGCCGGCCGGCATCATCGTAGATCCGACGAAGATCGAAAGAGCCGTCGCTCTTCTTTATGGGTGCCCTCCTTTATGAGGTCGTCGCACAAACGGCGTCATTCTTCGGATGCAGGTTACCGTGCACCTGGCCCTGCATTCAAACCTTCACAGCCTTTGCGACCCGAGTACTACCCACCTCGTGCAATCAAGTCCCCGCCTCAGCCAGCTCAACAACCCTATGGGGGAGGTCGCCCACCACAGTGGCGGGAGACCGTGTGGGATAACGACACCCCCAGCTCGACTCCCGCAACACCTATTCCAGAGAACGCGCAAGCACAGTTCGACCCACGAGCGCCGTCAATTCGTTACCCAGACCAGACAAATTTCGAACCTCTGACACGAGAAAGTAGCAGTGGAAGCGACCACAGGCACCGCTCCTCGGATTGGGAGCGGAGCAACGGACAGCGGCGACCGGCTCAGCCGGTTCCAAGAATCGCGACCGTAACCGGTGTGCAAGGGAGGAAATACCCTACCACCGATCCGATGAGTCCAATTGAGCGACAGCGGAGTCAAAATGCCCGTGGCAACTTTACTGCAATGGCTTGAGCTCTTGAACGGACCACCAATCGCCCGCATATGAAGAGCAACAAGTCCCACGGTATGACGAGTACGAATGCCTGCTGGGTACACGATGATAAGATGCACACGAATAATGACATGGAAGCACGGGATGACACGCGAAGGATAGAGCCTGCTGTAGGCGAGGCATTTTCAGTTTGATATTGTTTGGCGAGTACAAGAGCAGACACACGTCTCTATTTCAGCTTGGGTTACGCCTGCGAGGGCGGCGGTTGCGCGCCAGCAAATGAGCGCGATGGGTGGTATTGCAGTTTACGGACTGTTGCTGTTGTGGGGGATCTTTCTTTGGAACATGTCCAGTTTTGGTGATTATTACAGGATGGTTAGTAGCTTCGCAGCTCGACATGGTTACTAAAGCTTTTCTCCTTCCAAATAAATGACTTGGTTCGAAGCCTCTCCTGATTCCTGAAATGCAACTTTCATTTCCAAACACAAACACGAACCGGAACTTCTTGATCTCCTGTCCTGGTCCTGGATTCAGAAAGTGAATAAACTCCCAGGAAGGGGGGGCGTCACTTTCGTTAGCGATCAGTTTCGTATGCTATGCCATAATCAAGTCATTCACGCTGGGAGTCTCGATCCCAATGCGCCTTTATCTCATGTCGAAACGGGGGATGGAGGGATGGAGGAAACGATACGAATGAGTGCCCTGCGTGGCTCCATACTGCTCGTTCGTGGGATGGAAGAATATCCATTCAAAAACTTCTGCTTCGGCTTCATTCACTGATTCATTCCATTTTGGTAATTTTTCATGCGGGCGCGCTGTTTTTCATATCCTCCTGCCCATGTCATGTCTGGTGGTCCTTTATTCTCCTTTCTCCGTCCACCCCCTATACCTACCTCTCTGTCCGGTTTTAATGTTTTCGTTGTCCCTGCTCCGCTCCCACACACTTTATTCACCTCGCTAAAGGGGGAGGGGAAGAGGGGCGGTGATCAATAAACAAAGTACGTCTGGCCCAGAGGAACCACCTCAGCCGGCGCGGCGGTACAATGAACCCCGTCGGCCTCGACCCTGTAGGACTCCGCGTCGACCTTCATGCGAGGCATGGCGTCGTTGAACTTCATGTCCTTCTTCCCCACGGTGCGGCAGTTCTTGACCGGCTCGACGCGCTTGGAGAGGTTGTACGACGCCACGACCCCGGAGGTCACGGAGTGCTGCGACACGAACGTGATGCTCCGCGAGGGGACGTGCGCCGCGAACATGGGCCGCATGATCACGGGCTGCACCGTCGGGATGGAGGCGTTGGGGTCGCCCTGTATGTGTGTCGGGTTTAGTACCTCGTTCTCATAGAGTGTGGAGGAGAGGGAGGGACAAGGCTGGGGAAGGGCGAAGGGGGAAAGGGGGGTTCCGGGCATGAGTGTGGAGGGCAGATGACACAACAAGAAGAAAAGGTGCAAGGAGAGGGTGAGATATTACCATTTGCGCAGAGCTGATCATCCCGCCCTTGACCACCAAGCTCGGCTTCGTCCCAAACATGCTCGGCTTCCACAACACTAGGTCGGCCACCTTGCCCACCTCGACGCTGCCCACCAAGTGACTCATCCCCTGCGCAATAGCCGGGTTGATCGTATACTTGCTCAGGTACCGCTTGACGCGGAAGTTGTCGGCGTCGGTGCCTTCGTCTTCCTTTAGGGTTCCGCGCTGCTGTTTGTTCTTGTGCGCCGTGTTCCACGTGCGGAGAATGACTTCGCCGCAACGCCCCATGGCCTGCGAGTCCGAGGACATCATCGAGATGGCGCCGAGGTCGTGGAGCACGTCTTCGGCCGCGATGGTCTCGGCGCGGATCCGCGACTCGGCGAACGCAATGTCCTCCGGGATGTTCTTGGAGAGGTGGTGACACACCATCAGCATGTCGACGTGCTCGTCCAGCGTGTTCCTCGTGAACGGTCTCGTGGGGTTCGTCGATGAGGGGAGCACATTGGCGTGTTCGACCACAGAGATGATGTCGGGCGCGTGCCCGCCGCCGGCGCCCTCGGTGTGGTAGGTGTGGATGGTGCGGCCCTTGAAGGCGGCCACCGAGGACTCCACAAAGCCAGACTCGTTGAGCGTGTCGGTGTGGATGAGGCATTGGATGTCGTATTCATCGCACACAGACAGGCACGTGTCGATCGCCGCGGGCGTCGTGCCCCAGTCTTCGTGTAGTTTGAGGCCGCACGCCCCAGCCTCGCACTGCTCGCGAAGAGCGACCGGCGAGCTGTCATTTCCTTTACCCGTGATGCCGTAATTGATGGGGATCGAGTCGATCGCTTGGAGCATCTGTTTCATGTGCCATTTCCCAGGCGTGCAAGTTGTCGCGTTGGTCCCTGTACTAGGACCGGTGCCACCTCCGAGATAAGTGGTGATGCCGGCCGCGACAGATTCGTAGGCTTGTTGGGGACAAATCAGGTGGATATGCGAGTCGATACCTCCTGCGGTGAGGATGCTATGCTCTCCTGCAATGACATCGGTACCGTTGCCGACGATCATGTTGGGATGGACACCGTCCATGACGTCCGGATTGCCCGCTTTGCCAATGCCCACGATGATGCCGTCCTTGATACCCACGTCGGCCTTGTAGATGCCGGACCAGTCGACAATCAGCGCATTGGTGACGACCGTGTCAAGCACATCGGCATCTTTCCGGTCTGATGCTTGTCCCATGCCTTCTCGAAGAGTTTTGCCGCCACCAAACTTGCACTCCTCGCCGTAGACCGTCAAGTCCTTTTCGACCTTGATCCACAGGTCGGTCATTCCCAGCCGGACGCGATCACCAGTCGTGGGACCGAACATGCCCGCATAGGCTGCGCGGGTCATGGATGCGACATCGATATGCGCCAGGTCACCGGCCGGTTCAGGCACGTGGGCGAACCCAGCTTGCTGTAGTTTCTGCACGATTTCGTCGGCGCGAGATACATCGACAGGACCCGAAGCGAGGTTGTTTCCACCGTGTATCACCTTGTTGCCTGCGATCTCGACCAGAGTGACTGTCTTTGTGTCTCCGGGCTCAAAACGGACCGAAGTACCTGCCGGGATGTCTAGACGGAAGCCATATGCTCTGCCTCTGTCAAACTCGAGTTGCGGATTCGTTTCGATAAAGTGGTAATGGGACCCAATCTGTAAGAGCAACACATGTCAGTCGGCTTTGGAGATCGATCACCTTGCCGAAACCCCAGAGCTTGTCGATACCTACCTGTATTGGCCTGTCCCCCTTGCTCACGACCTTCAGCTGAATCCTCTTCCGACCCTCGTTCAACGTAATTTTGCCTTCTTTGACCGGAACGACTGCACCCGGCATTTTCGTATTGTCATACTCACTCTCGTCTGGCAGGGGGAATGCGTCCTTGGACGGCACGGGAAGGAAGCTTCCGTACAGCGCCTTTTCAAGGTCTCCATCGTCGGAACTGATTGGATGGTGGACCGTGACCAGGTACGTGCCGGTCTTGAAGGTCCCCTCGACCTGCAATTCGGTCAAGGTGGACAGAACAGAGGGAAGCACATGTCGTCGACCGAGGATGGTCTTCCCAATGGACATTAGGTCGGCGACCGTGTGGTTTCCATCGCGAATGAGCTAAGAAACAACCTCTCTCGTTAGGACAAATATGCTCGCGGTTCGCACCAGCTTTGTTGGGAGAAATACCTCTTGCAAGTTGCTGGCGATCAAAGCCTAGAGGAAGAGATCAGCTTTCCCAGAATTCCAAGACCCTGTGTGTTTCAGAGGAGAACCACCCACGCAAGCCTCTGAATGATTCAGCCTGACACCTCTAGCGAGTCTCCGTTGGGCCAGGAAGCCAAGCTGGGATATCACGAGCTTATCTAGCTGTTTCCAGGTGTCGAAGAAGTCAGTCAACAAAGGTCTTCTAGGTGAACAAAAACTGGCCCTCGGAACATACGTACCTCTTTTGCAACGAGCTGCATATTGAAAACTGCCCGCAGAAAAGGCACTCGCAGGCCTGGAACTTGCAGCTTTTGAAGATTTTCATCCTTCAATCCATCGAGGATGCGGTGCCTTATCTATGCCAGTCTGACCTATCATGGTCGAGGGGGCTATTGCGGGGCAAAGGAAGCTTCGGAGTGGTATGAGAACAGGTCTGGATAAGCAATGGAACCACCCCAGTTCATGCCCTAGGAGGCTTTCGAGTGGTTCTTTTGAAGAAATCACCGGAGTGGCCAGTCTCGATGGTGGCAAGCTTTGTAACCACCAGTGCGTGGGGTCTACACTTAGATGCGGAGAAGAGATCAAGACAGGAACTTTGTTTTGGTGCTGGTGCGTCATTAGTAGTTGTGGTAGTTGAGGAAAAGGACTTGATAGAGACAGAACAAAAACATTTTTAACATTGACATCGTTGAACAGACTAGTTACTCGGCCCTTTGCATGGCGCTCATCACCAATTTCTGCACTGCGCCGAACAGTGACCGCCTTTCATTATGAACACACATTCCTTCACAGAAGAAACAACCTCATACAACCTCGTGGCAGCGAGAGTCGAGTTCTTGAATTCCAAAATTCCCCAGACCGAAAATCGAAACCGGTAACGAATGATCATGTCCACGCGCGCCCACATACACACCCGTTATTCCCCACCAGAGTCGTTGGAATGCCTTCATTTCTTAGACTTTTTGGACTTCTCGACCTTGGTTGAAGCAGCAGGAGCAGCTTCCCTCCTGCTCTTCTTAGACTTCCTGTCCTTCTCTGGAGATTTGGCCTCGGCCTTAGGAGTTGCTTTGCTGGGAGTAGGCTCGACATCTTTGGTCTTGCGTCTCTTGGATTTGGGAGGTGTGGGTTCTGGGGCCGGCGCCTCTTCCTCTTCTTCTTCCTCGACGGGCTCTTCTTCCGTCTCTGCCTCAGCATCGAGACCGGCAACGTGCTCAGGAGCTTTACCCATTTCCACCAGGCGCGCTGCAGTCTCATCGTCAGGAACTGGCTGACCGGCTTTGTAAGCTGCCATCTTGACGCGGTACGCGGCCAAGTTCTTCTGGTACTTGTCGTCCCAAATCTATGTGGAGGTTAGTCGGAGTGAGCAACAAATGAATGTAAGCAAGGGACGTACGCTCTTCTCAGCAGGACTCATCTCAGTCCATCTGCGAGTTCCCTCATCGGCAACCTCTTTCGGCTTCGCTGAGTCGCCCAATTCCTTGGCAATAGTGGCACGAGCACTTTGCATGTAGAGGAAATACGGCGTGAGGGCACGCTTCGGTGCGTTAGGATCATGCGGTGTCCTCTTGCGCTTCTTCTTCCCATCGACATCTGGTTCTGGTGCAGCAGCTGGGGCAGCATCGGCTGGTCTAGCGCTCAAGAGACCAGACTCGGTAAGGATACTGGTTAGGTTGGCGTCAATAGGGTTAAGGCCATGTTTGCCAGGTGTGAGGACGGTGTTGGCATGTTGGATGTATGCGCGCGAGAGGTCTTGGACAGAGGATTGAAGTGTTGCAAGAGCAACAATGACCTGAGAGGATGTGTGAGCAAATGCCACTGATTCATTTTGAACTTCGCGAACAAGCTCGCCGAGAGCCGCCAAATCTTCGGTGAGGACCTCGACGCATTTGATGGCGGCACGGTTCAATAGGTGCCCGAACTCAATGCGCGCGACGCTGGGGGTGACATGAAGTGTGGATAAAGACATGGGGAAAGACTCTGAATCATAGGGTCAAAGGAGAGGTGTGCTACATAAGTTGAAAGTGTATGCGAGACAGTGAGGTGACATGCACAAGGGGAGTGACGGTGAGGTCAATGTTGTGGTTCAGTACGAGCTGGGGTAGAGCCTCGTCGCGGGGTTGAGGGTTTGTCACGGCTCGGTTGGACGCGTGTTGTGTGTGGGTGAGGCAGATGGACAGCAAGAATAATAGACACAAAAAAACTGGTTCACTCACCGAATCTCGAGTTCGCTGGAAGTCAGCAATATTGACCTGCGTCGTTGCAGACTCGGGGTCGTGTGTCTTCTTTGCCATGGCGTCTTTGTAGACGGATCAACTTGGGGTTATGCTAAGGGTATGGACACTCGACAATATAGGCGCCTATAAGCGACAGCGATGGGAGGTGGCAAGGCTGAGCTTTAACTAAAGGATGGGCGGCGGAAGTGAAGCCAGAAAGCAAGGGCTTGTCTGGGTGGAAAGCGAGAGGTTGGAAGATGCAGAAAGGAAAGGAAACGGGGGCGAGGGCGAGGGCAGCGGGGGGGCGGCCTGTTTAAGTGGGCGAGCGAGGCGCATGGGCAGCCGCTGGATCAACCCAGCGAGAGTGAAAAAAAACCAAGCAGCTGCGGGAGGATTGATCACGGCCACCTGGCAGCTCCCCTCTTTTTTTTTTTTAAACACCCCCCGTAGCCCCCTCCCATCTGCTCGGCCTCTAAGGATGCTGGGATGCTCTCTGTAGGTGCTTGTTTCGGTGTCCTGCAAGCTCCACTGTCGCGCCGCTAAGGGTGCCTTCCTCAGGTCTAATTGGCTCCTAAGACGCCCTGCCTCGCTGAGGCTGCTGCACTCTCCCGGCTCTAAGCTTGTAGGCTTCAGTACTATTCGCCCTCCAGGGCAGGAGTCACCTTTCCTTGCTGCAACACATGGGCTTGTTTACCCCCCCAACCCTGCTTCTCCTGCAGGCTAAAACAGCCTAGCTTGGGCTCACCCGCTGAAGTTGTCCTCCTTCACTGCCGAACGGAGGCATCGCTGTCTGTGGGTGATGCTGGGTATGCAGGTGAAGACGATTCTCCTTCGAAACGACTCGCTGATACGGGCAGACTCTCCAAAGCGGTTCCCATTCCCCAAGTTCTCAAGCTGCAGGCGCATCGCCATGCCTCCAATCCGCACATTTCGGTGCCGGCCTGACAGATACAAATAAATCGTGTGCTTATGCTTGTCGCGTCGCCCACAGCCTTTTTGGAAGGGAAACTCTGCGTGGACAGAGGTGCCCAGAGCACATACCCTCCTGTTGCCTAGAAAGAGACTGCGCGGCTTGAGCGGAGAAAACCATAGTGGATGGGAAGATCAGCACTGCTGTTAGGAGGACAGTGACGGGCGTCAGCGGCAGACAACGGGAGCTCTAGGAGGCAACACCGAGCAAGCTTGAAGGTCGGCATCAGCAGCTCTGGAAATGCAGCTGGAAAGAGAGGTGAAGCTGGGAAGCTCCGGGAAGTGTGGAAGAGGGCAGCACAGTAGCTGCTAGTCAGACCACCCTACCACCCTGCATGGCTCTGGTGGCCCTGGACTCGCAAATTTCGATCATCAGCGCCCCATCAAGCTGCATAAGCGCTTCTGGGCGGTCACCTAATGTTGAAATTGAGAGCCTGTCTGACGGGTTTGGTTCAACCTGAAAGTGCCCGACCTACAGCCTAGTTGAGACTCTTCGCCAGGTAATTTCAGGTGGCGGGGAGCAATAGTGACAGTCAGTCACCAAGATTGTTGCCTCAAACCCCCAAGAGTCCCCGTCCGTCCCGACAAATCAGCGCCTGACAGCGTCAGTGTTGGCTGTCCCTTTTGGGCGTCTCAGGCACAACAACTCGGCTCATCGACCCGCCCAAGCCGGATCAATGTCCTTCAATGTCCACTACTATTGCTTGGGGGCTTTTTGTACGAGAGAAGCCCCTGTCATGCCTGTTGTTTCGTAGCTCCTCTGCTGCTTCTACAGGCGCTCCGGTCCTTCTACTTTGGGCCTGCCCAAAGTCCCCGGTGGTGGTACTCTCCGATCTCGATTCGACCTTGCTCGTCAGTTGACTAAGGGCCTTTCTTTTACTGCTCTCCTTCAAAGGCCCGTTTCACTTCACTGCTACCCACCTGTTGAGGAGCTCCTGCTCTGGGCATCGACAAAGGTCATCGTAGGCATGCCCCTAGTGTCCACTGTGCTCGTACTGACACCGACAGCGAGCACGCCCAGCTCGAAGCCCTCTCCTCTAAAGCCCACCCTGAGTCTTTATCCAGTTTCGAGACGCTGCGGCGCTTGTTCACACACCCACGCTTCTTGGGGCGCCGAAAGAGCTCCCCAGAAGTCTCTCCCACTTTGGGCGTGGCCATCGTGGGACGACTTTCTACTGTATTGTAGCCCTGACGCCAGACGGTTCTTTTACTCTGGAGGTCATTCCAAATAAACTCTTGAGGCCTGTTTGAACGGGATACTCATACCCTGTACTCGGTACAGCTTCTTGCCCCTCCCCGGATTCTAACCACCCTCAGTCCTGGGTGCAACGTCAAGTCCACCAAAAAGCACTCCAAGAGCTTCAACTCTGCAACATTCAATATCTCAACCACCATCTCTTGTGCATAACCACCAAATGTCAACAATGTCGACTTGTAATACCAATACCGAAATCTCACCTACTTACTAACTTGACAAGATCCGTGAAGATTTATATCTTCGGTCATTGGATAGTATTCCTCACTGACACTGATGTGATTGTTCTATATCACAGAATCACCCTCTGATATAGGCACCCAGGCACGATAGGGTAAGACCACAGACCAAAATTGTTGTGGTGGTAATAGCAGTGGCTAGGGTGATTTGCCCAAACTCCGCTGCGCTGTCGGCATCATTGGCGGATTCGAGGTCATCAAACGACGATTGTGTCATGCGAGGCTACAATTTCTTTGTAGCTAGTCATGCTAGACCAGACCCGACCCCGCGCAAGGCTGAATTTTCATTCTTACTCGAAACTAGTGTCCATCAGTCTGAACCTCGTATTCTTGATGCATGCATGCGACCATTCAACCTGACGTAGTTCGAGGCGGTGTCATCCACGCTCGATTAATTGATCTGAAAAGAAAGACGATACAATAGAATTGACGGTACAATACCTACATAGGTTGATAGGTAAGTCGACGAGACAAGGGCCCGTTGACCGCTTCCTTGGGGAGTCGATTTGAATTCTCGAATTGATTTTGCTTCCTTTATACTGTAGGTGCTCGAAGACTAATCCTACCTACGCTGGTAATGGCCTACCTCGACTAGGAGACTCCACTCGACTCGGAACGCGCTGCTTGCTGTTTAGCTGTGTGTGGAGGAGAGAAAGGACGTCAGTCCATGCTCAACCGCCGAACAGTACCAGTTTCACACATGAAAGATCCTGAGTCGTGGAATAACTATCGACTTGTGCATATGTACCCCTCCTCTGCCAAAAGTCTCGCTACTGTATTCGAAAAATAGATACCTGTAGATTCTACAGGCTCGACTCGCCCAATTCTCGGAGTGACTGAGCCCCCTTGGACCCCCGCGACCGCTCCCAGACGCGTCGCGCATAGCCTGGCAAAGGTGCCTTGGACACCGCACCACACCACGACACACCACACACCCCCTCACCCCTACTCGGTACAGGCCCACGATTCTAGCCAACTTACTGTAAATTCCAATGTGTTAGGCGACCAGGCAGGTTAATCGATAGACATGTGCCAGTCCGAGATCCAGACGTCCCAAAAGTCCAGAACCCCAACGCGAGTACATGTACCTCCTACACTAGACTACGTTATACACACATTGACAGCTCCTAGGGTTCTTTTTCTTAGTATCTTTGGACTTTTCTGGCGATTGAGCAAAGACTTCTCTGCGAATTCTTGATATGTACAACGTTTATGTCAAGTTACTGTTTGTACAATGTTGTATTTTTCTTCTTTCCGAGCACATGCTCCTATTTTATTCTTTGCTTCTCTTCCCCCCTCTCTCTGTTCCTCTTCGGGAATGAATTTTGTCTAGTGGCAATAGGATACACTGGCTTCAGGGCCAACACCAACATTCTAAAATTTAAACACTTGGTCCTTGGTGTAGCCCAACTCCTTTAGTATGCCAGTCAGCTCGCCCTGGTCTTGCGGAGACACCTTCGCGCCACTGATCGCCTTATACAGCCCCGGAGGTCCGCAAACGAAGATCTTGATATTCTGGCTCTTGGGGTCCGGGATGACCTCCTTCAGCAAGTCCTTGGTGATGAATCCTTTGCCATACGGCCAGCTCTCGGGGGGGTTGTCCAGGGTATAGAAGCACCGGAACCTCTGAGGGAACTCGTTCTCCAGCTGCGACAACTCCTGCTTCAACAGAATGTCTTCTTCCTTGATGTTGCCGAAGATGAGCGAGACTTTGGTCTTGTCCTCGGGGTTCTTGAAAATGGTGCGGATCAATTGATACATTGGCGTGATGCCCGTACCTCCGGCGATAAGTGTGATGTGTTCGTGCTTGTTTGGTGCCCAGGGGTATTTCGGGATGGGACCTTTGAAGGAAAGGGTTTCACCTGGTTTCATGCCGAAGAGGTGTTCGGACATTGGTCCATTAGGATAGACCTTCACCAGGAGCTCGAGGTAGCCTTTCACGTCTACGGGAGCGAGTGAGTCTGGTGAAGATGGTTGGTGGGGGAGGGTCAAATACCTTCATCATTGATGGGTGTGTAGGGTCTAATGACGGGCTTTTCCTGATCGGCCGGCTTGAATTTTGTGATGATGGCAGCTTCGCAACATATTAACAACCGTAGCCCACCATATATAGTCCTCTGGCGCTGAACTTACAAGCGACGCTCAACCCGCTCACATGGTCCTTGTCCGGCAACTCGAACTTGAACCTCTTGGTATTGTGATTATACGGGATGACCTCGGCCAGCTTCAAGTCGACAAATCCCTGCTCGCCACCTGTGAAGGTCTTTCCGGGCGCAGGGCCCTGCTTGTC